CGAAAGTTTTAAACAAGAGCATATGAAAGATCTTGATTTTAGAACTCGATCCATTATTTAAAGAAGGTGAAAAACCTGCACGGTACTTTTGCCACCTGGAAAACCGCCACTATACTAGTAAACTAATGATTTCACTTATCAAAGACTCTTGAGAAGAAATTTTTGATGGTAAAGAAATAATCAACGAACAAAAATCTTTCTATGGAATCTATTCAAATCCTCTGATGCCGATACTGTTGATACAAGAAATATTCTGAACAATATCACAGTTCCCTCTCTTGATAGCCAAATGAGTGAAACATTGGAAAAAACCCATTTGGATCTGAAAGAAATAGCCTTTGCAATTAAATCAATGAAAAACAACAAATCTCCTGGATTAGATGGATTTTCAACAGACTTCTTAACATTGTTAGGGAAAGACCTTAAACTTTGGTATTCCAGATACATACAACATTATAGTTTTTTTCAAAATGAATTATTACCCATTACAATGAATAGAGGTGTAATTATTTGTATTTCCAAAACCAAACAATCTGAAAACTTTTGAAACACTGGAGGCCCATTTCACTGTTAAATTCTGTATATAAAATAATCAGTACATGCTTAACTATAAGGATTAATAAAAACTCTACCATTGCTTATTCATGAAATCCAAACATGCTTTATTCCTGGTAGATGTATTAGTGACAACAACAGGATACTCTATGATATTATGTTTGAAATGAAGGAAAGAAAGAAGTGTGGCATGTTACTGTTAATAGCTTTCGAAAAAGCTTTTGACACTGTTTCTAAAGATTTCATCATGTTAGTACTAGAATAATTGTGGCTTCGGAACAAACTTTAGAAAATGGATCTCAATATTGTCCAGCTCTTATGTCATACAAAATGGCCATTTGTCATCACCGTTTTATAATGAACGTGGTTGTAGACAAGGCGATCCCATATTCTTGCACCTGTTCTTACTTGTAGCTGAAATTCTGGGTAGTATGATTAAACGCAATAAGTACATTAAAGGTATCACTTTGAATGGGCAAGAATATGACTGAGGTCAGATTGCCGATAATACTCAACTGTTCTTGATGCTTAACTATAAGCTGGATCTGAATCCAGCCTGAAAGCTGCTATTGAAACTTTATGAAATGTCTGGCCTCAAAATGAATATTGAAAAAACAAAAGCTATCTGGATAGGCTCTTAGATCTTGACTGGCACAAAGGCAACTTTGAAGTTCTTGGCATTACCCTTAACGATAATTTTCAGGACCTCTGGGTCATAAATACAACAAAGAAAATTGAAACTATAAAGAGAATCCTTGCTTCATTATCAGTTGAATGATGTCTTTCAAGCACCAGAATGAGGAGCATGACTTAGCACTGAAACGCCATATGAAAATAAAATTAAAAAGAGGTTGTTATCCATAAAACGTGTCATGTATTCATGTTCGTCCAACTTCTAAATGTCTTTCAAGAGTTAGAACTATCATGAATTACGCAGTCTTGATTACTTTCAAGTGGCGCAACATATCGGTTTGTTGTTTAAAGCGCACTCAGCAATAATTATCTATACGGTGGCGCTCTGTAAATAATCGAGTCTGGACCAGACAATCCAGTGATCAACATCATGGGGATCGTGCGAACGAAGTCAGCGAGCCTGATCACCCGATCCCGTTAGTCGCCTCAAGGATGGGTTGCTGAAGAACAATTCTAACCCGGATCTTCACGAGTCGGCGCAACTGGTAACAAGCTGCAGTACTTAGGTTATATTGAGGTACCTATTGCGTTTGATACTGAAACATGTTATTGTTATTGAATACTATATGTCTAACTTTGTGCTTTCAAACTTGGAACGCAATTAAATGTGAGTCAAATGTGTGGTCAGCAAACCACAAGTCCAGATAATATAACCAGTAACTACCAGCTACTTATAACACTTTAGGTACGGATACAAGCCGAGCTAACAGTTGTTCACTTGAACATATACGTAAATTCACATTTCATGTTTTGTCTCAGTTTGTCATATTTGTATAATTTCGTTGCTCCCTGCTTACGTTCATTGTGTAGAAACGGACCAAGAGAAAATGGAGGCATTACATATGTCAAGAACCCATGAAAGGACCTTTGTGTTATTTACTTATTGGAAATTTCCAGAAAGAAAAGAAAATCGGATATTGACTTGGAATAGAAAAGTGGTGAACGGGAAACTTTTGAAACCTTAATTTATCACCGTCTCGTCTCGGCAGCTATTGCACAAAATCTTTTATTCTTAACACAGATGCAAGTATGGAAGGCTTAAGGGCAATACCGTAGCAACTTCAGGATGGAAGGGAACGTGTGTGAGCATACACGCACAGTAGAATGTATTGCGATAACGAAGCTTTCAACCCCTACAATATAAGAAAGTAAGATTGTTTATGGATAACAACTTCTTTTATTATATATGATGCGACGTTTCGGTAGGGATTCTTATACCGTTGTCAAGCAAGAGTGAAGTACTACAGCACAGAACAGACTTATATACATGAACAGGGATTAAGTAATAACAACATGTAGGTATGAATCAAGGGGATTAACAACAACAAGGCACGGTGGTAATAATGTAGTGTCAGTAGGAGGAAGCCAATGGTCCTAGAGGCAGAAACAAAATATACATGGCTGATGAGATTAATTAGCAATGATAGCTGGAGTGGATTTCTAGTATAAACAACCTTGACCAGCTATCAAGTGCTTGGCTTCATTCAGGAGAGACAACTCCGTTAATCCTTTTTCATTAGATTGTGAAGAGTTATTCCCCTTTGTTTACTTGCTAGCAGACGACATTTTCAGTGATCCTCAGTATGGATGATATAGAGAAGAAGAAATTGATTTTAGTGTATTATAACAAGGACATCAGATCAGCTCAAGTGATTTCAAGTAGAACAGGCATCCCTTTGTCCACTGTTTATCGTGTTTTGAAAAATATTGCAAATGGAAATGGCATTGAGCACCAGGGAGGCGCAGGTAGGCCCAGAAAATTGACTGTTGGTGACAGGAGGCGGCTTGGTATTCTAGTTTCTAAAAACAAACGAAGGAGTTCAGACAACTTAAGGCTGGATATGATTGATAGAGGAACTGTGGCTGTCTGTAAGGAGACAATTAGAATGAGCTGCATGCAATGGGTTGGCAGAAAAGTCGAGGAATTCCATCACCGATCATGAAACCTGATCAAAAAGAGCGAAGGTTGAACTGGTGCTTACAGCATAGAAATTTTAACTGGGACAATGTGATTTTCTCGGATGAAAGGTCTGTGTGGCTGTTTCCTAATACGCTGAAATTCTGGACCAAACAAACTGAAAAACCCTTGTATCAGTGCCCAAAGTACAGTCCGAAATTGAACATGTGGCATATCTGTGTTAGGGGCAACGCCCCACTGTGTATTTGAAGGGAATATGAACAGTGAGCGATACATAGATATTCTCGAGGGACATTTACTTCCATCTGCTTACGTGTTCTATGGAAATGTTTGGATTTTCCAGCAGGACAACGACCCAAAACATCGTTCAAAGCATTCACAGGCCTGGTTTCGGACCCAAAATATGACATTATTAGATATGCCAAGCTATAGCCCTGACCTAAATTCAATAGAAAGTGTTTGGGGTCTTATGAAGGAAAGTCTCAATAAGAAAAATCTGACAAATATTGCTGAAATGAAAGAAGAGGTGGTCCGAGATTGGGACAGCATGGACCACGACTTTCTAACTTCTTAGATCAGTAGTATGCCCCGCCGCATTGAAGCCTACATTGCTGCCCATGGTGACTTGACAAAATACTAACTGTTCACCTGTCTTTGAATCTGGAGTTATGTTCTGCTAATATTCACATTTAATACGTAAGTAATGAGTTAAAAAAAATAATACAATCTTTAAATTCTCAATAATTTCTGGTTGTACTACTTGTTCAACCCGCGAAGGGGAGGTGGGATAGCCTAGTGGGTAAAGCGTTCGCTCGTCACGCCGAAGATACGGGTTCGATTATCCACATGTATATCCCCGAGAATGGGCGACCCTTTGCCCAAACCCTGTCATTACGCAATTAGTACTGCTCATTCCTGTGGATTGAGCAGTTAAATAATCTGCGTATTCCCACAGATTGAGCAAGCTGAGTTTGTGTATTTAGAAACCTAGTTGAGCTTGTGTTTTTAGACAATGATTAGTGTTCCATAGTTTGTCTCCCAGTAGTCGACCGACAGTTGCACTGAGATGGAAGACAAAATTAGATTTGAAAGTTTAATCAACAGTGGTACATTCTCTGTATTTGCAAGAAGTAAAATATGAAGAAGTTATAAAGGACGTTTCTTCCGCCAAAGACAAAGTAACAAAGTAAAAGCGCGAATACAGAGTTATCAAAAGTTTGCTGTAATTGAAGTTGCCGGGATTAAGCGCTTGATAAAGAAGGGAAAAGAGGAATCTCCTAAATATTTCGTTCAGATTGAATACCTATATTGCGTGATAAATGATACTCATCTGTCATGTGGACATGGAGGCGAAAAGAGGACATTACATGAACTAAGTAAGAAGTTTTTTAATGTGACTCGTGAGCAGGTGAGATATTTCACATCTGTCTGTGAAAACTGTCAGTTGAACAGACAAAAAACACCAAAAGGTGTCGCATAGTGAAACCAATTCTGCCTGAAACATTTCAGTCTCGCTGTCAGATTGATCTGACTGATGTGCAAGCAAGAAACTGGTCAAGATCAAATGACGAAGTTTTGCATATTAAGACCACTAAAGTTTAAGAGTGCAGCCGATGTAGCTTATCAGCTACATATGATATTTTAAATGTTATAATAAATTGCGTATCATCGTGTTTTAATATGCCTCTCTGATTATCAAAACATTTCTAGCTCATTCTAAGGGATTACGCAGTGAGGCGTGCGCAATCCGCAGATTAAGCAAATAAGGTCGCGGTTGACCATCCTGGTTCCCGGGCCTCTCATTGGATTTGTATAGAAACAAACTAAATTCAGGATGGCGGTTGACGGGAATGTGGCAATACCTTTGCGTAATTCGCGGATTGGGCAATTCCGCATATTACACGCGACACAAACAATGTGTGAAGCCCATTTCTGGTGTCCCCCGCCGTGATATTGCTAGAATATTGCTAGAAGCGGCGTAAAACTAAACTCATGCACGCACTCACGCAACTCGTGAAGATCCGGGTTAGAATTGGTCTTCAGTAACCCATGCTTGTCGTAAGAGGCGACTGACGGGATCAGGTGGTGAGGCTCGCTGACTTGGTTGACACATGTCATCGTATTGTATTTGCGTAGATCAATGCTCATGCTGTTGATCACTGGAATGCCTGGTCCAGACTCGACTATGTAGCCATACAGCTGTAATGTTGCTAAGTGTGACGTTAAACAACAAAAAACAATAAACAACAAAGCTTACCTAAGCTGGCAAGCAGTGACATAACTGAAGTACTGTCCAAGGCGGTGTTAAACCCAACCCACTCACTCACTTATCAAAATACCCAATCTAGATTTGGGACATATTTTTTCAAAACTTTGCCAATTACGTCGTGCATCGTATTGACGGGTTCTCACACGTGATTAATATATAATCTATCATGTAAAGATAAGACACTGAGGGATTGTCCTATATCACGAGGATAAAAACGTGCCGGTTTTATAACCATCATCGCGAGGGTATAAGAGAACACAGGCCAACGATTCCATCGTAGAAGTCTCACGATCTCAACACAAGCCGACATGACAGCCTTATTTGTAGTCTCCGCTCTGTTCGTCACAGCGTCAGGGTTTGTCCTCGATACATTCGTACACAAAGCTCCCCCACCGTCACACAGCTTGAAGATGCCAAGTATCTTGGTCGGTGGTATCAGGTAAGACAATGACATTGTTTTGGGGGTATACTGTTTATATGTTCTTTCATGTATTATGCAGTGTAATTAGTTCACTTAAATGCGCTTCAGTTTCGACAGTTTAGGTTAGTGGATCCAACAAAACTACCAAAACGTTTGCAAATGGGGCTCAAACTCCACCCAAATTAAAGTTCTTTGACGCCTCACCCAGGAACATTTGACCATATGATTGCAACCGGAATATAATATACTTTGGATCAGATAATACTGGGACTGATATTAGGAAACAACCATTTGACTTAGCTCGAAAGGGGGAAGCTCTAAAAAATATTCGAGCATCGGTAACACTGGAACATTAAATACATGCTGCGCATTTTTTCTCACCATATTAAGCGTCCGAAGAATGCAGTGCATTTCCTTCTGTTGAGATGAAAAATGAGCACGTGTTCATAATGAATAACATGACACAGGTCCTATACATTTTAAAACAATGGGGACCTCAACAAAAATCTTCATTAGAGGCAGCAGTGATACACCTGAAACGTTCCGGCGTTAATTATTCACTCACTAAATCACTCGTGATGTGCATGTTTGTGTTACAGATGTGGTCCAGCGAGTCAGTGGGGAAATGGTTTGAACAGGGAGCGAAATGTGTGACGGCGGACTGTAAGTTCAACTGAAAAAATACCTGCAGAAGTGCGTGCGTGTGTGCGTGCGAGAATACTCGTCTCAAACATTTTACAAATAACAATTTCTTTGAACATACTGGATGTCCTAAAAAGTGTGTTGTGCAAAATGATTGAGCTTTTTTTTCAGAGGCAGTGCCAGCAAACAATAATGGACGGATGAAAATGTGTTATTTTAGTTAAAAACTCAGTTTTGCAACTGGAGAAGCAGAAACATTGTTTTCAGCGAATTATATATAGTGAGAGAAACAAATATAGGACCATCGGAAAATTCAAGCGTTCCTTTGATATTTTCCCGTTTTCATCACCCGCTTTGAATAGCACAGTAGTGATGAAAATAGCACAGTAGTGATGGAAAATAATAGAGGAACACTTGAATTTTCCTGTGATGCTTTATTTGTTTCTCTCAGTATATTTTTAAAAAAGGTCATTTGGATTACGCGAACAAGCCCAATAAACACCATATGTACAATTGACCTGGTCAATTGTGTGTCATGGATGCCTGACGTCGCGGATCGTTACTCAGTCTATCAATCACTAGTTTAGTTTCCATATTGTCAAACACGGAGATCTCACGCGATAGAGCATGCATATTGCAGACTGTATTCCCAGTTCTCTATTTAAGATGGCCTCAGTGGTGACGGTCGCATCACCGTCCTTAACTCAGAGCGAGTTAGCAGCCCTACTGGTCACCTCAAGGTCATCCACGGTTTCGTCAACAAGACTGCAACTGTCGGACAGCTGAAGGTTACTCTTGAAACAGTCCCTTTCGCAGCCCCATGTAAGTATAATTCACTTCCTGTCATCTGCAATAAATCGAGTCTGGGTCCCGTTTCACAAAGCTCTCGTAAGCCCAAGATCTCTAAGATCCTATACTGAAACATAGTCTTGTCTAGTCGAAAGATTTTCACCGTGAACAGAAGATCGGTTGTTCGATCCCCTGGCCACGTATTGCCAAAAGACGTTAAACGATGGTACTTGTTGTTACTCTGGCGTTCTCTAGTGAGAGGATAAAACAGGGACTGGCCGGCTCAATGTCAAAATACTGTGTGGGGTATAAGTCATAAACTGCAACATGGTATTTCAGAGGACTATAACACAAAGATAAGGCCAGTACAACCAGCCTCACAGTACATGCGCGTTGCCATTGGAAACCAACAGTCTTGACCTCATTCCGCTTAACCTTTAAAAGTATCACGTGATAGATAGATGACCTTTGACATTACATTATCGCGAGATAAAGTTCACCTGAAAACTGACTGACTGACTGACTGAGTTTTACGGCGCTTTTAGCAATATTCCAGCAACATCACGGCGGGGGACACCAGAAATGGGCTTCACACATTGTACCCATGTGGGGATTCGAACCCGGGTCCTCGGCGTGACGAGCCAACGCTTCAACCATTAGGCTACTCCACCGCCCTCACCTGAAAACAATAACAGGCAACGTCACATGTCTGTTAGATAGAGCCTTTATTTATTGGATAAGACAGAGTCCGTGGCTCTTTCTCTCTTCGAATGTTTATAAATCCTATCAAAGATATTAGTTTGGATTGGATCTCTTTTCTGACACTTACATCGAAATTCGACAGGACTTGAACAGCATTGCACAGAAACAAAACCACACATTGTTTGCGAAAACGTTGAAGCTATATGTAATGTATTTGTACAATCAACTGCCATTTATCTCAGCGTTATTATCAGGTTCGGCGTTAATGAAAACCCCTGTTTTGCTAAAAATCGTACAGAACGTCCTCGTTTCGTTTCACCCATTAAAATTTCTAAATTGTGTAATCTTCAATCTTTTACCATGTCAATTTATCATATAACGGACAGGCAACAATGACTTGAATGGATGAATCCCTCTCTTTCAGACTGGGTGCTGAAACTGGGCCCACCTACATTCGGCGCAAACAAGCAATACCAGTACAGCATCGTCAGTGACAACATCGAAGGGACCCTGTTCGTACTGGCACGTGACCGGCAGGTTTTCCAAACCCAGTACGAGGCTGAAGTGCTCAAATACCTCAGTGAACAGGGATTCACAACATTCTACAACAAACCAATCCGCACTTACCAGGGATCAGATTGTGTTTACAACTCAGATTCACAATAAACTAAATGGTGACAAGATCACTGAGAAATACAGCTTAATGAATACAAGTATTTACAACTGTGTTGGTAGCCTGGAGACACGAAAAATAGTCCGAATCCTATCTCTGTCTGCTTCCTTATTGTGACTTTTGATGTTCCAGCGCTCTGAAGTGTCAAATGGTAAACAGCTCCAAAGGAATAGAAACATGTAACGATATAGACATCTTATCGTTTCCAATTGCTGTTTCTTCCTCTTCCACTAAGTGTTTTCAGTGTGTTTCAGATATGTGGTCACAAATTTCAATCTTTTTAGTGTTTTTCTATATTTTCCATTCTTGTTCTGTTCTACCGTTTTGGACAAAGTCAACGTTACTCGCATATTTAGATGCGAAGGTTTGCATGCATGCAAGTTATCAGGGCGTGCAAGAGTGTTGAACTCTTTACTTGAATGCGAGGAATTGTGCTGAATTAAGTCTGCAGCATTATTTCTGCTATTGGCAGGTTGAATGACTGGGGTAATGTGTGTTTTTGTATCACACCAATACGGGTTTGTTAATGTTTGGGTTGTATATATTGTGTATATAGAAGTTGTATGTGATATAAGGTCATGAAATAAAGCAGTTTTTTCAAATATGCTTTGTTGTGTTGTAAAATGTAGGTCTAACACATCATGTCCAAAATGCCATTGGTTTTGAAAACATATTCTTGGGTAAGGTGCAAGCAGAACCACAATGTTCTGTAGCTCACCTAATGTGTTAATTTTTATATTTGATAAATGTGGTTATTGAAGGGTAAGGATAAATGAGTCAAGACAAATATTAGAAGTGTCTACACAGCAGAACTGCATGTTGACTGTATAGCCGGTGTCGATAGAGACAACACTCATGTTGACTGTATATTCGGTGTCGAGAGAGACATAATTACACACTCATGTTGACTGTATATTCGGTGTCGATAGAGACATTATTACACACCCATGTTGACTGTATATTCGGTGTCGAGAGAGACATAATTACACACCCATGTTGACTGTATATTCGGTGTCGATAGAGACATAATTACACACTCATGTTGACTGTATATTCGGTGTCGATAGAGACATAATTACACACCCATGTTGACTGTATATTCGGTGTCGAGAGAGACATAATTACACACCCATGTTGACTGTATATTCGGTGTCGATAGAGACATAATTACACACCCATGTTGACTGTATATTCGGTGTCGATAGAGACATAATTACACACTCATGTTGACTGTATATTCGGTGTCGATAGAGACATAATTACACACTCATGTTGACTGTATATTCGGTGTCGAGAGAGACATTATTACACACCCATGTTGACTGTATATTCGGTGTCGATAGAGACATTAATTACACACCCATGTTGACTGTATATTCGGTGTCGATAGAGACATTATTACACACTCATGTTGACTGTATATTCGGTGTCGATAGAGACATTATTACACACCCATGTTGACTGTATATTCGGTGTCGATAGAGACATAATTACACACTCATGTTGATGTATATTCGGTGTCGATAGAGACATTATTACACACCCATGTTGACTGTATATTCGGTGTCGATAGAGACATTATTACACACTCATGTTGACTGTATATTCGGTGTCGATAGAGAGACATAATTACACCCATGTTGACTGTATATTCGGTGTCGATAGAGACATTATTACACACTCATGTTGACTGTATATTCGGTGTCGATAGAGACATTATTACACACCCATGTTGACTGTATATTCGGTGTCGATAGAGACATTAATTACACACTCATGTTGACTGTATATTCGGTGTCGATAGAGACATTATTACACACCCATGTTGACTGTATATTCGGTGTCGATAGAGACATATATTACACACCTCATGTTGACTGTATATTCGGTGTCGATAGAGACATAATTACACACCCATGTTGACTGTATATTCGGTGTCGATAGAGACATTATTACACACCCATGTTGACTGTATATTCGGTGTCGAGAGAGACATAATTACACACCATGTTGACTGTATATTCGGTGTCGATAGAGTCACTCATGTTGACTGTATATTCGGTGTCGATAGAGACATTATTACACACTCATGTTGACTGTATATTCGGTGTCGATAGAGACATTATTACACACCCATGTTGACTGTATATTCGGTGTCGATAGAGACATTATTACACACTCATGTTGACTGTATATTCGGTGTCGATAGAGACATTATTACACACCCATGTTGACTGTATATTCGGTGTCGATAGAGACATAATTACACACCCATGTTGACTGTATATTCGGTGTCGATAGAGACATTATTACACACTCATGTTGACTGTATATTCGGTGTCGATAGAGACATTATTACACACTCATGTTGACTGTATATTCGGTGTCGATAGAGACATTATTACACACTCATGTTGACTGTATATTCGGTGTCGATAGAGACATTATTACACACCCATGTTGACTGTATATTCGGTGTCGATAGAGACATAATTACACACCCATGTTGACTGTATATTCGGTGTCGATAGAGACATTATTACACACTCATGTTGACTGTATATTCGGTGTCGAGAGAGACATTATTACACACCCATGTTGACTGTATATTCGGTGTCGATAGAGACATTATTACACACTCATGTTGACTGTATATTCGGTGTCGAGAGAGACATAATTACACACCCATGTTGACTGTATATTCGGTGTCGATAGAGACATTATTACACACTCATGTTGACTGTATATTCGGTGTCGATAGAGACATTAATTACACACCCATGTTGACTGTATATTCGGTGTCGATAGAGACATTATTACACTCATGTTGACTGTATATTCGGTGTCGATAGAGACATTATTACACACCCATGTTGACTGTATATTCGGTGTCGATAGAGACATTATTACACACCCATGTTGACTGTATATTCGGTGTCGATAGAGACATTATTACACACCCATGTTGACTGTATATTCGGTGTCGATAGAGACATTATTACACACCCATGTTGACTGTATATTCGGTGTCGATAGAGACATTATTACACACTCATGTTGACTGTATATTCGGTGTCGATAGAGACATAATTACACACCCATGTTGACTGTATATTCGGTGTCGATAGAGACATTATTACACACTCATGTTGACTGTATATTCGGTGTCGATAGAGACATTATTACACACTCATGTTGACTGTATATTCGGTGTCGATAGAGACATTATTACACACCTCATGTTGACTGTATATTCGGTGTCGATAGGGACATTATTACACACTCATGTTGACTGTATATTCGGTGTCGATAGAGACATTATTACACACTCATGTTGACTGTATATTCGGTGTCGATAGAGACATTATTACACACCCATGTTGACTGTATATTCGGTGTCGATAGAGACATTATTACACACCCATGTTGACTGTATATTCGGTGTCGATAGAGACATTATTACACACTCATGTTGACTGTATATTCGGTGTCGATAGAGACATTATTACACACCCATGTTGACTGTATATTCGGTGTCGATAGAGACATTATTACACACTCATGTTGACTGTATATTCGGTGTCGATAGAGACATAATTACACACCTCATGTTGACTGTATATTCGGTGTCGATAGAGACATAATTACACACCCATGTTGACTGTATATTCGGTGTCGATAGAGACATTAATTACACACTCATGTTGACTGTATATTCGGTGTCGATAGAGACATAATTACACACTCATGTTGACTGTATATTCGGTGTCGAGAGAGACATAATTACACACTCATGTTGACTGTATATTCGGTGTCGAGAGAGACATAATTACACACTCATGTTGACTGTATATTCGGTGTCGAGAGAGACATAATTACACACTCATGTTGACTGTATATTTGGTGTCGAGAGAGACATAATTACACACCCATGTTGACTGTATATTCGGTGTCGATAGAGACATTATTACACACTCATGTTGACTGTATATTCGGTGTCGAGAGAGACATAATTACACACCCATGTTGACTGTATATTCGGTGTCGAGAGAGACATAATTACACACTCATGTTGACTGTATATTCGGTGTCGAGAGAGACATAATTACACACCCATGTTGACTGTATATTCGGTGTCGAGAGAGACATAATTACACACTCATGTTGACTGTATATTCGGTGTCGAGAGAGACATAATTACACACTCATGTTGACTGTATATTCGGTGTCGAGAGAGACATAATTACACACCCATGTTGACTGTATATTCGGTGTCGAGAGAGACATAATTACACACTCATGTTGACTGTATATTCGGTGTCGAGAGAGACATAATTACACACCCATGTTGACTGTATATTCGGTGTCGAGAGAGACATAATTACACACTCATGTTGACTGTATATTCGGTGTCGAGAGAGACATAATTACACACTCATGTTGACTGTATATTCGGTGTCGAGAGAGACATAATTACACACTCATGTTGACTGTATATTCGGTGTCGACAGAGACATAATTACACACCCATGTGTGTACAAACCCGTGGACAACCGACGAGGACGTCAGCATGGATCTGACCAAATGGTTTACAGCGACAACGTTGTGTGCTCTGATGTTGATGTTTGATGCTGTACTTCATGATGATGATTGTGAGTTCATGTATCTGTTCGACATGAGACGGATGGCGCTACTGCTCATCAACAACATTGGAAATTTTGCATATAGCCAAGGTATCAACAGACATGCTAAGTTGTACTCTAAGTTAAGGATCATTTGTGTGAAAGAGCTCTTCCTTGCCACAGCTATGTTACTTTGTGGAGCGTTGTTGTTATTGTCGGTAGCGGCGATTTATGTGACCTGGAAAGTGAAGTTGTTGCTAGAAGATCACATTGTGCAGCCAAGTGATGATGAGAGGTCTCATGTTGTAAACCACACAGTCTTGGATGGACATCCTGACAGTATAGCTAAGCTCATGTAACACTGAGGGGATCTGAGGGCGAGGACATGGAAATGTCTTGCCCAGACATAGACGTCATAGGAAGGTGGTTATTTAATGGAGAACCGATTATTGAGTCCTCACGTTGTTACAGCTTTCGATCAAATACCAAGTACGGGAATGTTCACTCCTTAATGATACACTCTCTTCAACATGGAGATTTTGGTACATATTCGCTTGTCGTCAATCATCTGAAGAAGACAGCACATGGCCTTGAGCGAAACGGGGTGATACAGCTTTCGACACTGTGTGAATATATACTTTTGGAAGATGTTCCGCGAGTAGAAGAAGTTATGGTACCTCACGGTGGACTGTTTTCTGCGGTATTCAGATATAACTCCTTCCACGATGACGAGTATCTGTATGTTGACGTGACAGTAAATGGGCAACCAATGGACCTTGTTTGTGATCCCTGGCAGGGATGTTCTTCCTTGTTGCGTTTCTTTGCACAAAATGCAAGGACAGATGTGACACAATGGGAATGGAAATTTCACCACCTGAACTTAGTGTACGTCACATCTCGTATGTGCATGTGTCCTAGGGCATTCGGAAACCATTCGGTGTCGTATTTCCGGAGACATTTCAACCATGAAAATGGTATTTTCGAGCTGGTTGAAATACAGAATACCAAGACTTACATCGCAAAGCCTTTGCGATCACCATTTCTGAACTGTATTATCGATGTATTAGGTTGGGATAGACCTACTAACTTGCGGCTGACCTACTACCATGAATGAATACACACTACAGGGGATGAGCCTTTACATTAAGGCTATTGAATTGGGTGTGTTTATCTTCTTGGCAGTTTTATACCTCATAACGGGTGTTCTTACGGCTCTCCATTACATGGTCTACATATTGATAATCCTCCAGTTATACAAGCTACACATGATTATAAATACTTCAAGGAGAAACAAATCCAGGAACACAAGGACTTATATCTTGTGTTGTGAAGAGGACATCCGGTGGTCAGCACAGAACATTGATCCAGTCATCAAAGCGGTAGGTCATGCCACCTGCATACACTACAGGGACAGCCACCCTGGTCAGACAGATCTGGAGGGCATCAGGACAGGGATGAGGATGTGTCAGACGTTTGTCATCGTGGTGTCACAGTGTGCTGTACAGGACCCGATGTGGGAGCACCAGGTGGACGTCGTTCTGCTCAGGCTTGTAAGGAGAGAGGTGCCATCCTTCAATGTTCTTGTTGTGAGACTGGATGGGGCTCGTCACCCAGTGTTAGAGGAAATGATAAGCGTGAGGACGATAAGAACCATTGTCTGGGAGGAAGGGAACAGTCAGGACAAGTATGTTCAGGCCAGAAACGAGGATGTGTTGTGTTGGTTGTTTGCGTGTGATCCTCACCTGTACTTGGAAAATGTTTGAACAGACAGCTAACGGCTCAGACATCTATATCAGTTAGATTTGACCACATCATACAATGACTGTGTCACACAAATTCCTTCCCGTGACATGTCCATTTAAAATCTAGGTAATTGTCACTGACTTGTTTTCCATGTTTGACTCTATTCTTTTTTCCCATGTTTATTTTGTAACCCAATAATCCAGCTATATGACAGCGATCTGTAAATAGTCGACTCTTTGGCCATGTCGGATCATATCACTTGATACAGAAACACCTATAAAAAGCCAGCACAGGTAATTAAAATAATTGTGGGAAGCAATTAAAGTAATTTTTGTAAGTCTATAGCTATCTACTTCCTAGTGTTTCATTCAACTGGTGAAGGATTAAGATCATACTTCAAAACGTCGTGTTCCTCATAATAAAGACGTTGACATACATACATGATTCTCACTTTCTAAATGAGGTAATAGTCGTGTCTGCCACATGCTATTTTATACAATACACACAAGGTAGCCGATGTATGTCAAATAAGAATACTAGTTTCTGAAGTTAAGCCTTTTCCAGCAAATCCAAGATTATTTCACTCATTTTAGTAAGTAGTTGAGATCCATTGAAACTTCTTTTGCATAATTTGTTCGAAGCAAATGTTCATTTACTCTGTTTACAACAACTCTGTTTATTTGGATGCATGCTTTCCTTGGTTTTATACTATATTAACAATTTGTTCCACAATTTTGTCATGAACATATTAAAAGAGAATTAATTTTGTACGATGAAAAAGTCTCTCAAATATAATCCCTGACCAGTTAGTCTTCTTACTACAAGAGTGTGGTGTCATTTTCAACAAGTAAAAGGAATGGTACCAATGGTTATCACATCAGATCAATGTATGTTGTTTATTTGTGAGTATTTAACATGGTCATTTGACAGTCTTGATATGAACCTTATCCCAGATAACACTGTACTGTTAGTAACTTAGTTTTGATGTATTTCATGTTTGTTTACATGAATGAGACTGGAATCGTATATATCAGGTAAATATGACTGGATTGTGTTTTTAAAGTCTTATTCTTATGTCAGCATGTACAGAACATGAGAGTATTAAAAACGTTTTAAAACTATTCTGAGAAGTATGAACTTATTTTTAAAATATCTCTGTACCCATGAGTTGTGTAGTGAGTCTTTCATAAGAAAGCAGGCAGACTCATCCTCATCTCTACAAAATGTTTCTCTGAATTAGCTGAGCTTCAGTACCTGTGATGCTTAGTTGGGAACATCAAATGCCAAGTTTCATCTATAATAATATGTATTTTCAACAACAGGTATTGTCACTAATATTTTCGATTTAATGAAGCTACAGAAAACATTTCTTGCCAACAAAGATCAACTTTTCAGAAAGTTTAAATTTTCAATGATTATGTCAGTGAGGATGGGTCAGCCACTTTGATCAACTGTGTTGTGACATGATCAACAAAGTACCTCATATTTTAAAAGCAGAAACATGTCTTAATATGCATTCAAACATCTTCTTGATAAAAATAAGAAAAACAATCTTGAGGTAACATCGAGTTTTTATTGAAAGAAATATATTGAAGAATTTCATTGTCGCTTTGCAACCAAACATAAATTTACTTGTATTTTAGATGTCATAAATAAACTTATCTTTCATGACAACAAATTGGCCTTTAAATGTCTCAAAGTTTTCAGAAGCTGTACTCAAACGTAAAAGTTCGATATTTCTAAGGCTGCAATGATAAGTCATAATGAAGTAAGCTATAATCACCATGTTGTAATCAATATGTAAACAACGAAAATATATTGCACAAGCATTTAACACAAGAGACCATATAGCCCAGGAAATGCATATTTATTCATGAAACAAAACTGAAACAATATACAGTGAGTTGCGTTTAACGAAAGCATTTCAGTCACATGGTTGTCAGCTTCACGTGGCAGGAAATCGCTGGTGCCATTCAGACACATTTACCATGTTGATGAAACCCACAAACACAGGTATGAGCTGGCAAACCAAGGATTTAAATAATGGGAGTCTGGGATTTATAAACAGTTAAAGGATCCTTCATCAACTAAGGGCCACAACTCTAGGCCACCTGAAGCTAGGCTTTTCCCTTTCCCATTGCTCTAAAATGCTGGTAGTAGTTGACAGTGACGTCCACCTATGCTTCCAAAACACTATGCAACAAATCATGCTCTATAAATCATTTTATGCATGAACAGTGCTGTTTTGAAACTGCCATAATTAAATACACCTCCACTTTGGATCAGGTATTATTCCCAAACATGTCCAGTATAGTTTTAAAGCAGAATGACATACCAGACCATTCCTATAAAGAGTTATGTGGTATATACAGTTAAACATTGTGTTGAAGATGAACGGGCCTACAAAAACACTCTGAGCTATCCAACGTTTAACACAAACGCAAAATGATGTTTGAAGAAGAAATGATGGACAAGCTTTTACTTCAAGACAGTCGGAAGTCTGAATCATCAAAGTTCGGCAGTGTTTGACAGTATAACATGTAACACATTTGATATCTGCCCAAATGTCAAGAAACAGCTATATAAAATGAGGATTTCAGCATGAGTCTCTCCGAATTTACCAAGGAAATGTTGATGCAAGCAATATACAAATAAATAGATGAATGTCAGGTCCCTGTGTGACCAGGTGACTGAAGCTAGGCTTTTCCCTTTCCCATTGCTCGAAAATGCTGGTAGTAGTTGACAGTGACGTCCACCATCAGATCCTGGGTACACTCTGGTAGCTCCCCATTGCATTTACCTGCCATACAAAGTGGTGAGTGAGTTGAATTGAGTTGAGTGCGGTTGGGTTTTACGTCACATCAGGATTATTCCAGCCACATATTGACGAGATCAAGTCTGCATTCATAAACATTTTAAGTACAAAATCCAAATGAGTTTTATTTTAAACACATATACATTGACTTATCCAACACCCTGTATAAGCCGACATTTTTCCCCGGTCCCCGTGAGTGTCGGATTATACATCTTCCACTGCATATTCATTACAATCAGAAAATGTCACAGCACCAAATTCAAAAGCAAGCAAATTGTTATTCACATTACAGAGTTACAATTTATGATACAGGTCAACTTCCCTCAAGCAGATTACAATGAGATGCTCGCTCACTCGGGAAAACAGATCTTTCAGATTTCTCGCATCATAATGTGCATCCCTTGCAGGTGAAAAGTCCGCACAGTCAAGCAGAATATGCTTGATGGTGAACACTTCATGGCAAGACACAAATGGGAGGTCCATTCCCATCCGTTTTCAGCAAATAGTCACGAGTAAACCTACTGTGGCCAATATGACATCGACATTGTCATAAAATTACATCATCACATCTTCGTGTGAGCGAATTGAGTGTGTGAGTGAGGAAGGGAGGGAGGGAGTCTCCTGGGCAACATCTCAGCCATACCGTCAATGAGGAAGTGAGTGGGTCTCGTTTGATGCTGCAGTTGTCAATAATTAAGGCAAGACAAGGAATAACAACATTTTAGGGTATGGTGCAATTTGTCAGTTTTTAAACTATGAAATGTTATCGATAAGGAACAGGAGTCTTCACATGTTCATACTTCTTGTATTTTTTCAGTATTTAGGTTTTTTGACATTATTACTTATTTGCAGTTTTCCACAAGTAAGTGCCCCTTAGTGAAGAACTGCAGAACTGCAGTTGAGTGTTTGACCTATTGGAGAAACTGTGGATATTTTTGTTTTATGTAAATGAAAGGCCAATGAAAGAAACTTGCACATGGAATGGCAGTTGAATGATTAATTTTGAAAATTTTAACTATAAATTGTATATTTATATACTTATCCTATCTCACGACTTGCACCTCTCTCTCTTCATTCGACCATGAGTGGAAGCGAATTAAAACTTTGCTCAAGACCTACCTTGCCCCTCTCCCGTGCTGTGCATGCCTTCCTGTCTCAGTCGTGCTCACTAGTCCATGACAGCCGCGAGGCATCGCGAGTCCTCACCCACATGATCACCCTCACATACTCATTCTACCGATCTTGGAGCCATAAAAGGACAAAACCGGAACGGTGGTAATCTATGTAGTGGGGAGGTAGGGAGGGACTTTATCGCGTGAGATAGGATAAGTATATAAATATACAATTTATAGTTAAAATTTCAAATTTTAAACTTATCCTATCTCACACGACTTGCACTTATCCCACGGTAGGAAGGTGGGTCATAGATTACCCGAATTCAAGCGATAACAGCTAGTGTTACGCCCAAACAACCGTAGGAAGCAACTGCAAGGTAGGGCAATAACTACCAAGTTACTACGTCGAGGGTTAGGTCGAACCCATTGACTTACTAAGCACAATTGCTCCCAGGGACCGAGATTCCCGAGCAATGTGGTGTTCAGTCACTACCTTCACTTAAGTGAAAGGACGCGAGCTTAACGAGTGTAATCAGTCGCATCGCCACGATTTCCAAAAGGTACCCCGTAATAAAGTCAAACGACTAGTATCGGGCCAGCCCCTGCTTCAAAACAACCCCCACAGACACCGTCGAGGGAGGGTGAAAGAGAAATTGAATCGTAAAACTCACAAATTTTAGCGTTCAGTACCACAACATCATCTTATGACTTCCATTACTTACCACAATAAGATCACATAGATGTGTATAGGCGCTTAGGAGTATGAGCAGCCACGAAGTGTAACACTTGCCGGGGAAGGACTCCACTTCACTGACTTAATTACTCCGTGGAGCAGAGGACAGTAAGTGAGGTGGCGACTGCACTCTGTAGTCTCAAACAAATGAGAGGAGAAAATCTAAATCCCGGAAGAAATAAAGACGTAAATCAGAAAAGTTTTTCAGATTTATTCAGATTGTACACAAGCAGAAACGATCGCGACTTGGGATCAACTGCACAGTGGGATCCATATAGCATCGAGCACCAGGAAGTTCATTATCTGCGCATGTTGTGCCGCTGATAACTGCTGGGCAAGGACGAAAGTGGTCCAAACTGATGAAGGCCTTGAATATCCGTCACCGACACATCTCTGAGGTAATGAGGCGAAAATACCGTGTCAGATAAGCCAAAACACCCCTCCATTATGGCAGTTAACGAGCAGTTGCTATGCAACGCCATAGTAAGAAACCAAAGCCCTGGTTTCATGAGGGTTGACTGCCGTAAGGTGGTGGCAAAACCGGCAAAAAGTGTAGGCCTGTAGTATTGTAGCTCGTAGCGTAATATAGAAAGTGTTGTCGCGAAACTTCCGCCTTGGAAGCCGTGAACAAGGGTATAAATAGTCTCTTACGCGATCGGCGGCGCTCTTGCGATGCTTTAAGGTAAAATGCGAAGTGCTCTGACTTTGGACAAAGAGACAGATCTTCAACATCTGCTGGACCCAATATGGTAGACAAAGGCGGGATTGTAAAAGGCGATCAGGGACATTGACCCGGCAACTGGTTTTGCAATAAAATCCCAGCGCCAATCCCAACAATACCTTGCCATGTCTACTCTGTTCAAAACGGACACGTTTGATATCTAGAGCATCCAGTTCCTGATATACGTGCGCTGTGGCCGAAAGGCAATAAGAAAAAGGTCTTGAATGAAACTTGTTCAAACTCCTTGTCCTGTAAGTGCGGGTTCATAATGCTCGGGACACTAAGTGGTTGCAGGACCCGCGGATAAGTCCCAAGCTGGTGGACGAAATTTCCTGGATTGGTCGGCCTAAGCTTAAACGAACAGAAGTAAGTACTGCAGTTCGGGCACCGTCCGAAACCTTCCCATTGCCAGAAGTGCGTGGCTAGGACGAGATTAAGAGCCATGAAGTAGGTGGCTAAAGTGGAACCTTTGGTTTCCTTGTAGCCCATAAAATGTTGTAAATATTCATAACAACCTGGGAGTGAAGCAGTAGTAGGGAAGGCGATACCTTTGACCCGACAATAACATTCAAATTTCTTCCCACTTATCGTCATAAAAGAACGGGTAGGCGTCACGATGAGCTGCAGTGATAGCTGAGGGCCACTCTGTAGAGAATAACCTTTGGCTATTAGTGATTTCTGCAAATGTGCCATCACGTGAAGATTGAGCGTCTGTGGTGACTTCGTGATACCTCCAGTCGCGGATGAACTAGTAGGCCCGTACGCGGGAAGAGAATGCTGCTTGACTGACTAGACTTTTAGGCCGACGAACCAACTTCTAAGCTGGCCAAAATGAAGCTACCAAAATGTAGTTGTACTTTGTTGGTTAACAGAATTTTCCTGAATGACCTTGTGAAGTAGAGCGGGAGGTGGAAACGCCATAGCGTTGAGGCCTTCCCAAAGGAATAGGCAGGGCGTCGTGATCCCAAGCTAGTGGATCTGGAATTGGAATCACGCAGATCTCCGGCGGTTGGGAGTTGAACGAAAGTGGCAAACCAGAATTACGACACTTTCGGTCGAGAGATGGGTAAATTATCGTCGAAAAAATCTTGGGCAGGAGTTGCTTACTCTGGTAGGCTGACGAGGCGACTGGAAACGAGACAAGCGTCGGCAATCGTTCTTTGTTCCCGAGGAATGTGCCTGGCTCTTGCGGCGATGTTGAGAGAATCTATCAGAAGATAGAAAGCAGAAACATCCACTGTAGGAGTGCTGCTGAACCCCGTCGACCCTAGGTGATTACGATGTACCACACTACCGTCGAGTTGTCGGACTGTATCAGCAGGTGAGACATCTTGAGTAGAGCAGCCCAGTGCTGAATCGCCAGTAATACTGCCTTGAACTCCAGAATGTTTATGTGGGGTGGACTTGTCTTCGGACGACCACTGCCCTGCAGCGATGCTGAAGGAAGTAGTCATTAACCTTCTGTAGAGAGGCGTCCCACAAACAACTGATGGAGTTGGACTGAAGGGCACCAAAGAGATGCGGCGCCAAACATTCTGTGCGTTGAGCAACCAAGCGTAAAGTGGAACTATAGTTCCCTGGGTAACGAATCAACACCTGAGGGTTGTTGGTCTTTTGAAGATGAGGCGCCATAGAAATAACTGAAGTGAAGCGAAGCTGCAGTTGACCTCTGTAAGTCAGAGCCTGAGCTGGCGTTAAGACGCCAACAACTCCTGCCACTGGCGTAGAAAGTTCTGGGGGTGATCAAGACTATGAGGAACCAGGCGGCTGAATTTTGATCCACCTGTCCTGGGGAACAAAACAACTTTGGCTTGTTCTGTGTCGAGAAGATTGCTCCTATGAACTGAAGTCTGCGAGTCGGTGTTAACTCCGACTTCGTGAATTGAGGAGCCACCCCTAACTGTTTGAGCAGCCTGATGGTGAACTCCCCGATGGATTTGAAGAACGTTTGGATCCTGTTTGTGCCTGAATACAATCGTCGATATAGCTTTCGAAAGTCACCCCCAATGTAGGAAACTGCTGATGGGTTTGGTTACCCGAAAGTAAAAAAGCGGGGCACGGGTCAGAGATTCCAAATGGAAGGACGCTCCATTGGTAGTGATGGCCCCGAAGGTGAACCTGAGGATATTTCGATGATCTGGGTGAAAGTCGGAATGTGCAGGTATGCGTCTTGAAGATCTAGGGATATGGAGGAAATCCCTTTCTTCAGAATTGAGCCGAGGAAGACCGACCGATACCATCGCGAAAATGAGGTGGGTTGTTGCAGAATCCCGGCGTTAATGTCTTCATATTATTGAAGATGAGACGCTTAACTTGCTGGAGTTTTCTTTGGCACCAGAAAAATCGAGGAGTAAAATCCTGGAGTTATGCACACCTGATCTAGGTGTTTCTATTGCATGTTTCTCCAGTAGAGTTTGGATTTGTCGAAAAGGACTGCAGCCCGATCCAGAGGGATATATTTGCTGCAAGGGGTTGAGTGGTGAGGGTGGATCCCCACCACAGGCAGTCGATAGCAGTGCGGAATGAGAGTCATTGTGACAAAAGGATCTCCCAGAACCTCCCAGTTGGGAGCAAACAGACCTAACCTCCCTCCTACAGGGGAATCGAACACTGGAACCACCGGATCCGGCAGAACCAATCGAGCCTGACTCCGTGAGTCACTGTTTGGACTGTCTATGTCCAGTTCCGATGTCGGGTCGATAGGGCGTAATGGATGCGGAACTACCGAAATGGCCTCCTGCCTCTGCCACGTGTTTGAGAAGGCGCCGTGCTCTTCACTTACAGTCCCGGAGGTCTGGGTTGGAAGGGGTAATTGTGGTTCGGCGATGTCGAGGAATAGAATCTTGGAGCTGATTTTTTGCAATTCCAAGAGATCAACAGATACTTGAAATTGGTTTAAGACGGTCCCACCTTGGATGCATTTCAGCAATAGCCCCACTGAACAATCGTGATCTCCCACCATGGTTGAGATTTAATAAATAATTCAGCCTTGAATCTATCTTCCCATGAGGAGAAATTCAACGGACCCGTCGCCATTGCAAGTAAATAGCCAAAAAAATGAGACAATTGCTCAAGACCACCTGGAATTGGTCTAAAATCAGAGTCATACACCCCTGATGTATGCGCCCTGGTCCGTGATATGCATGGTTGACCGCTCCGCAACAGCGCCAAAGCTGAAATAATGCAGCTAATGGCAGGGATAGCATGGCTAACCGTGAAGTATCTAAGTGAGCCAATTTCCTGTCTTCCACCAAATAACGGCGAAATGGAAGCTTGCCATTACAGACCATGGAAATGTCATCATCGACTGAAGGTGCCGCTGACCAAAGTTTCACACCATGAGTATGTGCGTGGATGGTCTGAACCTTGGAGCAGATAAACCATCCTTCGTCCTTCTAAGCTTGTTGAAAGCCGCGTCTAAGAGAAAAGGCAAATTGTTGAAGACATGGACGCCAAAGGAAGTGTGATACTGGCAACATCTCATTAGTATTTGGCATAAGGCGGGCCAAATCATCTGGAGATTTTACTAAGAGGTAGCTGAAGTTTTTCAACTATCCAGGCTAACACGCTGAGCGGTTCAACAACATCAAAACTGCCATCAGGAGGGAGATGTCCTGACTGCCCAGGTGAAGGGAAGTAGTCTGAGATCGAGTCCGATCCCTCAAATCCCCAGAACGATTATTGCTAAGCACGCCAGTATCGATTGTTGAACATGTGAGGACGAGTGACACTGATTCCAAGCAGACGTAACGGCACGAAGCTACGGTATCTAAATCCTGGCGCTGGAGCCGGAATCAATAGCAGGATTCCAAGACTCAGCAATAATCTGTGACCAGGGCAAAATAGAAGTGGAAAAGGCGTGAAGGTGAACGCTGATCCACTGAAGCGTAACGCTGCCTAGCAGGTGAAACCACCCGTGACAGAACGGCGCTGTTGATTTGTACTATCATGCGGAAGGCACTGACCGTAAGACGCTAATTAGCACTAAGCTGGCTAGAGGGGATATTCTGATTCCCTGAGGTGAATGAGACCGATTTCTATTATCCCTCTGACGCAAAGACACCAAAGCGGTTAGGTGAACCCGATGGAAATCGCGAACCACTTCGACTAGGTGAGACTGAATCCATTCACGGGAATCTAAACGCTGTGGTGAGTCGAACGGAAACACCTGTTGAGGTGAATTGAGTCGGGAATGTGAACCGGTTCGTCCTGGTGAACCCATTTGAGCACGATGGAAACAGTGCACGCCAGAGGAACCCATTCGACACGTAAATCAGTTCGGATCAACTGAACTCATTCGAGGATGTTTCTGGTGAGCCGCCTCGGCCGTGGAGCCGGTTCGGCAAGGTGAGTCGGTTCCGCATGGTGAGCCGGCTCGGCTGTGTGAGTCGGCTCGGCTGTGAGCCGGCTCGGGCGATGTGAGTCGGTTCGGCAGAGTGAGCCGTTCGTAAGGTGAGCGGTTCGGCTGTGTGAGTCGGCTCGGCTGTGTGAGCCGGCTCGGGCTGATGTGAGTCGGTTCGCAGGGTGAGCCGGTTCGGTAAGGTGAGCCGGTTCGTTATATGAGTCGGCTCGGCTGCGTGAGCCGCCTCGGCGATAATGGAGTCGGTTCGCAGGGTGAGCAGGTTCGGGCGGGTGAGCCGCCTCGGCGGGGTGAGCCGGCTCGGAAAGTGAACGAGACCTGTGAACGACTCTTGCCAGCCGTGGAAGAACGCATTCAACCTTGCACCAGATGGTGATTCAACTCATGTGGGTGAATTGTTCCGCTAGATGAAACCGCGGAATTAGGAGAACGGGTACGCTCCAACCGCCGACCATCCCCGCTTTGACGGATGAATGCTTAGAAGTTCTCAAGTCTGTGATCGTTCGAAGAAACAGACCCACGAGATAATGTAGATCGCGAGGTCTGGCGTAGAAGAAATATCAGTCATTACCACCCTGGTACGCTCCTGAGAACGTGAACTGGGAGAAGGAACCTCCCTAAAAGCCTTCTCACGCTCTCAGATAAATAGGAATCTGACTGGTTGGCCCATAAAATCTTCTGGTCAGGCGCAGACGGCCGATTGAGAACGGGTGAGCAGTGAGGGTGGAAGCGATCTAAGCATTGTTTCTTAGCGGAGATGGACCAGACCCTGCAGAAATAGTCCTAGCCCTATCTGCCAAACGCCTGGCACAAGCACGCTTGTAAGATTTAAACGCCTCATTAGACAGACCTGAACACTTAGGACAGCTGCGTGTGTCCCAGTCACAAACACCCACATTAATCAACACACGATGTGTGAGGGTCCCATGCTGAAAATACTTTATTACAACGGACGAAAAACTTCCGCTTATCTGGCCTTAACAGGCTTAACCATTTTGAGCAATTCTCAGATCTAAAATTTTCATCCGCCCACTCAGTGGAGCCGACAAGAAAGAGAATGAGTATGTGAGGTGATCACTGCAGGAGGGACTCGCGCGATGCCCTCATGCTGTCATGGACTAGTGAGCACGACTGGAGACAGGAAGGCATGCACAGCACGGGGAGAGGGGTAGGTCTTGAGCAAAGTTTTAATTCGCTTCCACTCATGGTCGAATGAAGAGAGAGAGGTGCAAGTCGTGAGATAGGATAAGTTAAACATATTGTTTTTGAATGTTTTTCTATTGGAGTCCACCTTTGTGTACGTCCATCAGACAGTTGTGTAGGTGAAGGGAGGTAACTGTACCTGGTGATCCTGAAAAGACTGTGAAAGAGGGGACAACTGTTTCTGGCGGCAACACTGTATTATCAGCTATGGCACAGCAGTCCTTGAGGACAGATCGACGACCCTGCAGAATGGAAACATATGATGTGGTAGTAACTTCACTCCTTATATAAACCCTGAATATGGACAACCAAACCATATCTGTCATAGATCCGATGTTCTATTTATTGGTTGATAGATGTATTTCTGACATTTACAAAATATAAAAAGCATGAAAATTATACGATATAACAAAATTGTCATGAACCTGGCCTCAGGTGAGAGTTCTAAAGGGCTCGAAGTTGGGACACCTCTGAGAAATATCCATTACTTATGGTTCAATCTCGCAGAAACACTACCTGAATGGTATGACCGAAACATAATAAGAAGCATATTAATATTTAATACTTTCAAACTGACATGTTATGGAATATCACACTTACAATGATGCAGTTCTTGCCTATATGAACATAGGACCCAACCTGAGCTGCGTTGATAATGGAGTCTTCTTCAATCAACACATGATCACCTATATGCAAGGGGAAGAACGCGACACTGAAACAGACAAGTTTAATGTTCATCAAGAATATCCAGTGTATTAAATTTCCATTCTATTGTTGACCCGTTCATCTCAGACTTACATCCTTTGTTTCATCTCTTTAAGTCCTTATACATTAATTATTATAACAGACTTTTCATCCATTGAATGAAGAACAAATCAAACTGCCTCTTATGACGTGTGAACCCTACTTAAGCATAGATCAAATTCAAAATTAGAGTTTCGTATGAGCAAGCAATATGTATAATATCAGACAACTGCTGTTAAAATGTCTTTTGGAAATTAAATCTTCCCGAGTATGAAGACAGAGCGTGAGGTGACAGAGGAGGCAAGTCCTTTTACTACAAGACATTCTGGTTGTATTTGAAATGACACTCAAAGGCAAGTAATGTACAAGTGAAACCACTGTTTACTTTAATCATGGAAACACATTGTTATTTGGCTCGATGTTTATTATTTGCATCAATCATTCAAACTGGACTTAAAACAAAGCTCTGGTGGCAAATGGTCCAGGGGGTACAGATTGTTTGCCCGACAATAGATGTAAATGAAACATAGATAAATTCCAATATCAATTTTTCATGGATAAATAAAATAAAAGAACAAAACCTATTTTGTCAATGCTGTTTTTGAAATCATTTATTCATATTGAAAGCAGCAGTAAATGATCAGGGATCAGTTGGGAGAATATTTTCACATTTAACCCATTTCTAGTTTTTATTTAGTATTATCTTTCATCAATCAGTTTTTTAAGACAATTCAAAAGTGTAGCTTTATCCTGAGATACCTTTCAGGCCATTATTTGTGGACAGTTGGGAGAATATTTTTTATAAACTTGAAATTATGAAAGATGCTCAAGCCATGGGAACAAGCTCTCCTACAAATATGAACAAGTACAACATGGACTACACTACCACAGTATTATAAAATCAGGTTGAGTTGTAGACTGTGCTTACATAGTATATGCATTTAAGGACCCCTAAACCTTTACTCCAGGATTATGACAGTGTCCCTTGGACTCTTATACTTAATTTGGTACACTGGTGACATGTTACCAGAAAGTTACCTAAATATGTCACTCACCCTTTGCTGAACTTCTTAAACGCTGGCCTGATCACAGCTCCTTTGTTGATGACACAGTGACGACCTATCCTGACATTGGCCAGGTCCCCTCGTATCACACAGTCGGTCATTATGATTGTCTGCAACAGATATTGGCATTGTAATGTGTGAGTGAGTTCGGATGAATCCCTGGTGCTCCTAAGGCATGCAACTGACCACAACAAGCTGCAGAGCCTTAGATGCCATGGTCATCTGTGACCACTATATTACAATAAAGACTCTTCTGTCAGTTAATAATATTGTCTTTAATGTGCAATATTCATGACACATGAAAGTAGCCTGTAAATAATCTTGTATGGATTAGACAATCCAGTGATTGAAATAATGGGCAATAAACAACTCTGTCGGGGCACGATGACATACTTCATCAACCAACGACCAACTGTTCCTTAAAGCCACAGCCTACAACTAGGTGTCTGGGGACCATTTCTACTCCAGAAGCCCTAACACTTCACAATTTAGTTGCCTTTTATGAGTACCAATGCGATACTGGGATGACATATTCCATCCAGTGTCTCCACAGGGTAATAGGTCATACTTATTTCTGTAGAAGTATACTGAAAGGAAAAAGAAACGTTGTAATATTGGAAATGGCATTTAAGTATCGTTTCTTTTGCCCTTGTTCAGTAGATATGAGAAGTGATAGATCAAATCACATTTATGAGATCTCAATAAAATCTGACCTTAGTTACTGGTAGGTCTACTGCAAAACAAAGATCTGAAGATATCTGTTTATAGTTCACATCAGAACCACCTTTCACAAAGAAATCATCAACATAAAGTCCAAAATGCAAATCCAAAACCAGCTTCCTGGCAACAACACCTTCGAAAACATTATAAAATGAAAAAAAAGGAACATTCTAGAAGTAGAATGTCTCACAGAGAGCCTAGATAGTGTTGCAGTACTTCACACAGACAATGCAAAGTCTCCTCCGTTCAAATATTAATCCCACTGAGGCAAGAGGCAGATGATGATTATTACAGATTCAGTCAGGGCCTGTAACAGTAGTTTAAAACACTCCTGTTGACATTTTCAATTGGGATAAATATCCTGACTGTCACTTTCCTGATCTGGAAAACAATGTCCTGATAGGTCAGATGAAAGGTCATTCAGACTGGACCAGTAACTGGGTGTCTTTGGTATGGGTTGGCAATTAAGATCAAAGGAATAAAATCAACTAACATGCCAACAACCTCAGAAACGAACTTGTCATATGCTTCATCCAGAGTGAGTGAGTGAGTGAGTTGGGTTTTACACCGATTTTAGCAACATTCAAGCAATATCATGGCGGAGGACACCAGAAATGGACTTCACACATTGTGCCCATGTGGGGAGTCGAACAGGACCTTCGGCAGTGACGCAGTGACGCTTTTAACCACTAGGCCACCCCATGGCCATGCTTCATCTCGAGATGTATAGTCAGGGCGGTAATCCGTCCTCGTTTAATTCCAATCCACCGACTTAACGCGCTACTCACTGGGCACCAAATCATCTCCTATATATTGTATAAAATTGACACCTCGTTAGTCCGATGATTCAGCTTCTGCCTCCAACGCTGGTCAGTCAGAACGGATTGGACTAATTAAGTTGTAAACAGCTGCGCTAATCCAGCGATTGAAGTTGTCAGCTGCCGACTGGCCCCGCCCAAAGTACGGTCTTTAACAAGAAGCGTGGATGACCTCGAAATGTTCAGTGATTGGCTGAGAACTTTTGATAGACAGTGTAGGTCACGTGGTCGTTATGTGATACTTCGTGGACAATGCAGCCAGCCACAATTGCAAACATGTGAAGTTGACAAATGTCAAAGTTCATTTTCTTCCTCCCAACACTACATCCCGGATTCAGCCACTTGATGCTGGTATTATTCGGACATTTAAAGCTTATTACAAGAGATCATTAGTGAGACATTTCAACGATGTGCAGAAGATGACAAACCTCAGTGTATAAACTTAAGAGAAGCCTTGCGATTCGTGAAATCTGCATGGGCAGATGTTTCTTTGTCAGGCGATCAAGAACTGTTTCAAGCATGTCGAAATTCTGCCAAGTCAAGAATCCCAGATTGGTGAAACTGATGATCTCGAAGATGATATCTTGCTTTGCCGACTTGAAAAGGCTACTTCAACTTCCCATCTGATGATGAAAACATGTAAGCCTGATGATGCCATCGATGCCTATGCCAACGAAGAAACTTGTGATTCACTGACTTCAGAGAACATCATAGAGATGGTGACAGCTGCAGATGATCAGATTGAAAGTGAAGAAGAAGCAGAAGACACGGTCACCCTTCCGTCTTTAACAGACATGAGACTGTATCTCGGTAACATCATTACGCATTCACGAAAGTGCCAGGGTGACATCGAAAATGCAGATAAAGCAATGGCAATGCTCTATTCTTTAAAACAACCTTTGCCGCGAGCCCACCATTAAAGACTACTTTCGTAAGTAAAATGTGTGAGTGAAACAATGTGTAATAAATCCAGTGATTGTCTTTGATGTTTTGTTTTGATTTCTTTGATATCAAGGGGAAGTAACTTGCATATACTGTGGTTTCAGCTAGAGCGTTTCACTATCCGAACGCTTTTTAAAGAAACCAAACTGTTCGTATTAATCTAGGCCTGACTGTAAATGGGTATGAGTGAAAATAGAGGAAAATGACCAGAGGGTCTTTCTCCTTGGATTGAGACGATTCACAAGAATGACCCAAGCGTGATCAAATAAGAGGAATTCCATAGAAAATTCTCATCCCTGTTCATCTTCATTGTTTGAATATTAGAATCATATGTCAGAGAAAGCACTTGTTCAGACTACTTGGTGCCAAAATCATTGATTTTTAAGCATTAAAGAAAATGGACACAATACATTGGGACATCTCATCTAGTGCTGATTGCCTCAATCTCAATCATTTCACAGATCTCATATGCCTCATTGATCTTAGGGTTAGTTGTACTAGGGTTAAGGGAGGTTTGTCCCAACTGTATCTTTCGCCTGTGAATCCTCTTTCTGGTGAAACACCCTTCACCATTCTTATGGCTGAAAACCTTAAGAGTACAGAGCAATGGAATTTAATGGAGTACCAGCAGTTCACCACACCATTGCTACTCTTTCAAACAGGTCAATGATCCTTGGTGTTAGTTATCCATCTCTTATAAGGAATTTACCAATACAGCTAAAGGAAACTACAACTTTTATCAAGTTTCAAATTTCCCAGAGATAACAGCTACTTTACATGTGCATACAAGAGCAATGATGACATGGTATATAAGCATTCATAACCTGTTATAGTGCCTGTGGTCACAGGGCAAAGTCTTGGAATATAAGATTAACTCATAAGCTTTGATTAGCTTCAAGCAGGTAAAATGATTTCAACCTTCCACAAAGCACTAATTGAAATCAGAATTTGGTAAAGTGCATAAACCCCTTAGAAAAATATTACATTGAAATTTTTAACAATCGTTTGAGGACATCTACCCGTGCTTACCTTTCCATTGATGACAATGTTCTGGCTGCCACAGAGTACAGACTGCCGACTGACTTTGTTTCCTGATGCCTGGAAATACATGATGAACGACAATAGACATGCAATTTCCTGGGCAATTAAATATAAAATAGAATATAGACAAAATTACATGGTGAAACAATTTACACAGAAGACTATGATAGTATGATACATGTGCTAAATGTTTGTATAGGTTACCCACGTTGCAAAATTATGTAGGTTCTGCAACAAACACTCAATGCACTCATCTGGTATGTGATGAAGTACAATATTAATTAAATAATTGCAACAACATCATCAACAACAGGTTTATGATTTCATTGATTTAACCAGTCACCCACGGAGTTGGAATCTACAATTATCCAGAGACCATCTTTAAATTCACATGTAAACGGCTTTGTACGACCTACCGTTTCAATATATTCGGCATTCGAATAAAACACATCCTGCAGTTCCATAGTGAGTGTTTTTATCTCATTCCGATTTGCAGTTCCTGAAACCTATGAAATCCTGTCAAAAACTCTGTGATGGCGGACGATGAATGAGAGTTATCTCCCTTTCGTTACGTGGCAGACCACTAGCAAAACTTCCGTTCACTGATGAACATATCTGAACTTTGTCGCTCGGATGGACTTTGGAACCACACATGTCGAATGGAAGAATTAAAAGGAATGATACTTACGTCCAATATACCACGTCGTAACAATAATATTCTAAAGTATGTATCCAACTGACAAAGTATTCGCGTTCAATGCCAAAACTCCATCAGGACCCTGGATCCAGCTGTGAAGTATACCCAAAGACGAAACTTATATAGATCTATGATTGATAGTGTGTGTGCTAAATAGGCCGGTGCCGCAGGATAGCCTGTTGATTGAACAATTGCTCGTCACAATATTTAATGCTCGCCTGGGATTCGACTCCCCGCTTGGACAAAATATTTGAGACCCATATCGGGTGTCGTGTTATTTACAGGAATACAAGGTAAAACATCACACACGAATAGAATATATGTTTATTTCAATAGCATGTGCTTAACATAGAAAGACCTGGGGTTTATCGTGAATCAAAATATTTTCACAAAGACGTTACTTCCCGAACGTTCAAAACATATTGTTTACGTTTTAATGCATTCTCTTCCCACAGAGGTGACTCCGGTCGTAGGAAGAGAATGGTTTTAATGAACTATTTTTTGCCTTTGCTTCAACTGAAAATAGGCAGTCTCACTCCCATACGAAAAAAAGTCAGGTTTTTTAATCGAGTACTTATATAAAAGAAAGCGCGTATATAATCTGACTTGTGTCTTGTTTCTATCCACATGCCTTGCCTTCTGTAACACCCCGTGTACGTTAACAAACTAATGTCATATCTGCAGACTCTTTCACATATCAATATAAACTGTCAATAAATCGAAACACACATCTGTGTTAATGGTGGCTAGACTTTAAAAAGAAGATGAAATGGTCATCTGACGATGAAATTTCTGTTACAGTTCTCACAGTGTTGGACTAAACTTTGCAGTGTTTCGGCGAGTACGTTCTGGGGCATCCTGGATAATCTCCAGGGAATACGTTAATACCCTGCAGATTATCGAGGATGCGTTCTGATAATGCTCAGAACTTTTAAGCCAAATTCGGATTTTCTTTTGCTCGACAGGTTACATTTTCTTATGATTACATAACACAAGTTTATAGATAAAAAATATTAATATAACACATGAATACACGGAATTCAAATATTTTACTTGTCCTAGTTACGAGTAATTGACCAAAATTTAGTACCCAAACACTATAGGAAGAGCGAGTGAGTTTTACCCCAGTTTGGGCAATATTCAAGCATCTTCATTGGCCCAGTAGTGTTCAAGCATTTTGTGGCGCCGCAATTCGTTGTGTTAAGTTGCGGGGGCCGTGGGGGAGCCTAGTGGTTAAAGCGTTGGCTCGTCACGCCGAAGACCCGGGTTCGAACCCCCACATGGGTACAATTTGTGAAGCACATTTCTGGTTTTCCCCCGTCGTGATGTTGCTGGAATATTGCTAAAAGTGGCGTAAAACCAAACTCAGTCAGTCAGTTTAGTTGCGACGCTTGACAACGCCAGAAACCTATGGATACTTCTAATTCCGGTTTTGACTGATTATGTTTCTAAGTTTGTCACCTCCATATCTCTGCTCGTTCATTTCACCAAAGTGCTCAACGCCTGAGACCTCCATCTTGTTTGGGTTTTCCTCCAATATTTGGCTGTAACATGTATCATCACAGCGGAGACCCACAACTGATTCATATATCTTTTCTGGAAATTTGAACCTGATCTTCAGCATAACGAATGGCCGCTTTAACCACTACCACTGACCGCGACCCGTGAAGATCCAGGTTAGAAATGGTCTTCAGCAACCTATGCTTGTCGTAAGAGGCGACTAACGGGATCGTGTGGTCTGACTCGTTGATTTGGTTGACATATGTCATCGTATCCCAATTGCGCAGATCGATGTTCATGCTGTTGATGACTGGATTGTCTGGTCCAGACTCGATTATTTACAGACCGCTTCCATATAATGTCTTTTAAGGGCATTTGTGGGAAATGATTGTGTGGGAAAGAATAAAGAAGCTTAAATCCATAGAATATCTTGGGCGCTTCCATATAGCTGGAATATTGCTGAGTGCGGTGTTAAGCAACAAACACACAAAAACATACTCTGCATAGCTTTCTGGTGGGTATGATTTTACGCCTCTTTTTAGCAATAACCCGGCGATACAAAGGAGAGGGACCCATGTCTCAACTACTCCCACTGTTTGGGATTCGAACTAAGGTCCTTGGCGTGATGAGTGAACACTTTTCCCACTGGCCTTCTCAACCCTCCCTGTTTGGGATCGGATGTTACTCTGAAACACCTGTTCTTAGAACTATTGTTTATATTATCCAACAATATTAATTAGCTGTAATATCACACCTGTTGCTCTCACATGGGTGAAAGAGGTGTCGTTCTTATGTTGTATGTTCACATGTATTTACCTGTATTCAAAATGACAAGGGGCGATGGAGTAGCCTAGTGGTTAAAGCGCTCGCTCGTCACGCCGAAGACCCGGTTCGATTCCCCACATGGGTACAATGTGTGAAGTCCATTTCTGGTGTCCCCCGCCGTGATATTGCTGGACTATTGCTAAAAGCGGCGTAAAACTTAACTCACTCACTCAATATGACATTGTTGTCCTCTCTGTTTATAGTATTCCCAGAAAATATTGGGAAAGTTGTTTCGGCAAATATCAAATACGTGTGTATAAACTATAGAAGTTTTACTTAAATGAATATGTTGACATATGATTCTCTTAAGTGTCTTTTCAGTACTTTGTGAGACCACTTTGCCTTGCAATACACGACTGAACGCGCCTAGGTACACAACCGTTTGTAGAAAATCGTGTGACAGCGTATCCCAATATTCGACCACTTCTTTCTCCATGTCCTCAACATTTCTAAGTCTTTTTTGGTTTACTCTGTCCTTCATTAGTCCAAAAACATTCTCAATAGGGTTAAGATATCTGGCTGTAGCTGGACCAGTCTAAAACTGGAACATTTCCGTCCGACAACCACTTTTTGTGTAGCTCGCAATGTGTTTTAGGTCGTTATCATGCTGCTGACCCTTTTGCATTAGTCACACCCCTGTCAAAACTCATATAGAACCAGCTTTCTCTTCTGCTGTCAAATCTGCAATGCCAACAAAGGTAGCCGTCTGCTATACCAGGGGAGATAACTCTTGATGTAGTAAGGTTCATTCTTTAAGCCTGCGAGAGTTGCCTCCCACATTAAGTATTCTATTATCAGTATCAGGAAACAAAGATTTTCTCAATAATTTCTGAGCAAACTGTATGATTATACTGGATACCTTAACGCGTGTTTCTGGTGCCCCCCGCCGTGATGTTGCTGAAATATTGAATAAAGTCGTACTCACTCAAAAACTCACAAGACACACTAACAAAAGGTTTACATGTTCTATTTTGTCTATATATATGAAAGAATTATGAATATTAAAGACATATATATTTACATAAAGAATCTATAATATCGCGTCTAAGATGGTTGTTTTGTTTCGTTTGTTTATTGTTTAACGCCGCACTCAACAATATTCCAGCGTCTAAGATGTATTTAAAAACATTTCCATTGCATATGGCATAGGCCTACTCCATAATGTTGCGTATCACTTGCTTGATATGGGAGCGTTCATAATTTATGGCTAGGGGTGGTGGTGATGATATTTATGGAGAAGCATATACAATGTGAATGACCCCAAAAAAAAAAAAAAAAAAAAAAATAAAAATTTATGTACAAAATAGGTGACCCCCCCCTTGCATGTCATGTACAAAATCAATGACCACCCTCCCCTTCCCATGATTTCTAAGCATAATTTTAAATAATTTTAAGTACAAAATTGCTGACACACTCCACACCCCCACACCCCAGTACGTGTGTACAAAATTGCTGACCCCCCTAGCTCCCCAGAACAAAATGGGTGACCCCCCTCTTAAAATCATCATCACCTCCCCTAGCCATAAATTATGAACGGTCCCTAACGGTGTTGACATCTACACCGGCATCCATAAAAACCGTTCTTGTTCATCATACCAGCTTCGAGATGCCATTCAAAGAAGAAATTGCATATGGCAGCAATAAATCTGTCTACTCATTAAGAGCGCTGCAGTAAAACACCTGTAGTGGTGCCACGCCGGTCAAACCTCATCCTCAGTAAATATATCTACATATCTAATAACATATTTACATAGATAATAGAAACCCGCATATAATTTACTCTCAAAACATTATGCATGCCGTATTCCCAGAGGGCTATGGTATATGACACGACGGAGCAATCGATCACAGGCTACAATGTGGATATACATACATGCGAGACACGACGTATATATACACGCATGTACTCCAAAGAATTGCCATTGACACGTGTACCGACGTACCGACAGCTGACGTGGAAATGGCCACGCTATGTATAAAACCGATGTTCGGGAACACTGTCTGCGAGAAACTTACATAAAATTGGAATTATTAACTATTGATGTGTCAGACGCGAGGGTGACATCGTATTGACCTGAGACGCCCATATAAACACTTTATTCTGTTTTGTCACCCTTTAAATTTATTTCTAAATCATATTTTCATTTTTGTGTTTGCGTATTTCTTGTGTAGTCTGTGCTTGTTAATAACCAAATAAAAAGCCAAACGATCGATGGTCTGTCGTAATTAATAAAATATTATAGATTGATCGTGTAAGAATGATAAAGGGACGGTGTCACCAATTACCAAGGTATTTTCTTTTCACCAAACAATTGTTGGTTGTTATATGTCATAAAAACTCTTTCTACGCACGAGGGCAAATGTAAAATTAATTAAGGCATAATGGCTTTGTCATCAGAATCTGCACATTCATTCATGATAATGCCAAAAGTGGATTGTCACAGCTCAATCATGTGAGACGCAAAATATTTTACATTTCATAAATAATTTTAAATATGTATTTAAAATATACTGAGACTACCTTAAATGTTTTTATTCGATCTTCCTTTCACAAGAAATTTCATGAATGCTGTGTTGACAATAACATCTATACAAATCCGAATGGAAGCGTTGTGCCACCACAGGAGGCCTATTGAGATACTTTGATATACAGGCCTGTATGTTCCTTGAAATGTCTGGAAACTATATTTGCTTAATGTGACAGCAAGGTTAGTTTCCGTCAGAATAATTATGCTTTGAGGAATTCCACGTGAACGATGCTGACTGTAAATGTTTTATAACGCGGTGACAACGTAAAAGAGTAAAATGTGGAACTTATGATTATGTCCCTTTCAATGTTCTGCCACGTAGAATAGATCTGCGCATGCGGCGGTTCTGCGACTTCCGGAAAACAGCCTGTTCGGCGAGATAGTGACAAAGCCAACGAAATGTTTCCTGTGTAGCGTATATATAATTCTTTACACCGAAGTGGCTGTTTTATACAGCATTTAAACTAGATGAATTGAAATTCCACCGGTTCATAACTAGATGAGTGTCTGATCAATGTGAGTGTAGAGTCTAATACTTGTGGTGAATCACGTAACATGGCGGATCCTCGACTCGCGTTTGGAACCAATTTCCAGCCAAATCGACCTCCTGGACCCCAAACTGTCTCAAATCCAGGATTTCCGACGAACCAACAACATGCAGGTACTGGATATATTAAGGAAATTGTGTGGTTCATTTGGAAAGGACTCGAAGAGTCCATCCGTTTGGCATGTTGACGTGACATGACTAGCCTAATTTTTCCACAGGACACCTGTCAAACATAATAATATTGCTGTTAGTGAGTATCTTATTAGGTAAGGTATGTGAAAAGAAGTCTATATAGACACTAAAACACAAGTTAATATCAGTGAGGTCATTATCCATATACTGTACTCAGTAATATCGACAGCATGATGATGAAACCTGATCCCATTTCATCTAACATTTAGTCACGACACGTTTCACGTTTGATTAAAATCATTTCAATATGGTCTAGGTATAGATACCTAGAAGAAGTGGTTAAAATCGAAATAAACTATGTTAACATGCAAGCCTTTAGTGGCACATCATGTACTTCACACACTAATCTTAAAGTGTAAAATGAATTCAGTAAACACAGTAGAAGCATTTTTTGTGAAACTATGTTGTGACTTGCTCTGGGAAATTAAGTTAGTTTTGGTGATTAGTGTTGAAGAGATGGGTAAGAGATGTAAATTTCAGGACATTACCCATTCTCTTAAAAATATCTGCAGTCCAAACTTTAAGAAACCGACAATAATTCTCAATATGGAATTATGCTTCACATCACGTTAGGTGTGATTTAGGGGAGCTTGTACTAGTACTATGACATTTGCAGAGTGCTAGTCCACTAACCATGTAGTAATATGTGTAGTATTGTACCCTACTCAGAAATATTTTAATGACATTGGGGATAGTAGTCCTAGCCCTTTAATGCCGAGTGCAAGGCAGGTAATCAACAAGTAACATCTTTTGGAAAGATGGATTGAACCACTGACCTGCCCCAAGGGCAGACACTTGATTATCACACAGTGCCCTTGTCCATGTCTTTTCAGCTAAATGAGATTTACAGAAAATATATTATTGTTAAATGTAGATTTTTAAGATCTTTTATATATTTCACAATGCTCATCAGTTTCTGCTATTATTTGCACCTGAATCATGTGAACTGAGATATTGATACGAATAAGCGGGAAAGAAGACTTACATATTCTTTATCATGTTCATGATGAGAATTGATATGTTGCACGATGACAGTAAGGAAAGTATGGTGTGAAATTCTGTAATAGATCACTGGTAAATAAAATCAAACAATACAGCTCTGTGACTCTTAAATTGTATATCATACTGTTGAAGTACTGTTGGGAAACCCTTGACAATTCCGGATAAGAATTGGCCCCTAACAGATTTTTGCTGTTCAAAATTTCCCACTAGACCACAGGACTAGTAAGTCCCCCACACCCACCCACCTGTATTCATATTAGCAGCTCAGTTCACATGGTCTAGGTGCAAATAATAGAAATAAAACATTTAGATTTTATAACTACCTTTAGTAAGTGAGTGAGTGGACAATAATTAGTGGTCCTGTTTGTACTTCACTGGTCCAAATTAACATTCGTAGATTTACTTAACTATCAATATACAATTCACTGGTAACCAGGACCACTTCAAACTTATCTCATTTAGTGGTCCTGATTAATTTTTACTAGCCAGGGACCACAGGACCAGCGTAAATTTTGCACACTGTAAGGGGGAACTTTGTGAATTGAGTGGGCAGAATCACTGCTCAATCAGTGACTTTGTTGATTGGGTGTCAATGTACCAAAGCAGTCTAGATCAGTGCTCACAAAATCAGTCTTTGGATAGTCGGGTTTATATTCCATCATTTTGCTAGCTGCTGGCATATAGCTGGAATATTGATGATTACGATGTCCATGTATGTGATGTAAGGATGGCTAGTCAGTAATGACAGACTTCATATATGTAACATTTTGATGGATTGTTTTTAGCAATTTGTTTTGCCTCCAAGTTTGTCACAATAACGATTGGTAAGGGACTTGACTGATTATGACTTGGTATAATGCAACTTGCTGTTACTACCTGATTGACCTGGCAGAAATATTACTTAATCAAATGGCTGTACAGGCACAGAAAGGAACAAAAAGACTTATTACCGATTTCACACAATATGCTGGAGTACTACTGCTGAATAAATCGTTTTTGATCGAAATGCAGTCTTAATATCTTAAGTCATTCTTAATTTAAGAGCTATTCCAGTAATTTATGACCCATAAAGATCCGGGTAAAATTGGTCTACAGCAACCCATGCTTGTCATAAAGAGGTGACTAACTGGTTCATGTGGTCTGACTTGCTGTCTTGGTTTACACACATTGTATCCCACATTGCGTAGAACGATGCTTAGGATGAACTGTTATTTACAGACCTCTCTCATATAGCCGAAATGTTGCTGAGTGTGGCATTATACAACAAACAAACAAAACAGTTTATGTTCATTTGTGCTATCGTAGCTCCACAATAGTATGAGGTAATCCACTCTGAATGGACACATCCCCTGGACCATCAAAGCTGTTAACATTCTTCGGATTGAAAATTTCTGTTAATCTCATATGCAACGTTTCCTTTTGAAATGATTTATTTAAATGCTATTTAAACATCATAATCAATTCCTTTTTCAGCTCCAGGTATGCCACCAAAAATGGGAATCCCCAAGGTCCACCCGGGCAGTTCAGTGGTGGACCCCGGCCTCCTCTGCCGCCAATGACAGGGGCTCCATCAGGACCACCGTTTTCAGGCATGCCTCCCCACTTACATGGCAACATGCCTCCACAAGGTGGTCCAAGACCTCCGGTTAATGGCTTTTCAAGCCCACCATCTATGCATCCCCCAGGAAGTGGTGTGACAAGGACTCCAGGACCACCTTCTGGAGTGATGGGTTCTCAACCTTCTTCTGTTGCTCCAGGAAATATTAATGTGCCATCCCAACAAATACCTGGACCTTTCAATCCTCACGTTTCACAAACAGGGCAAATGTTAAATGGACCATCAAACCAGACCACAGTCAATGGATATCCGTCTGTACAGGGTGGTCCTCCTCCATCTTCACAGGGTCAACAGTACACAGGTCCTCCTGTACAGCCTGGAGGACCTCCTATGGGAGGATCTGCACCCAATTTTAGACCTCCAGGGCCTCCAACCCATGGTGGTCCTCTGCAAGGCAAGGTCCTCCACCTGTGAGGCCACTGGGGCCCAGTCTGCCTCCTGTGTCTGCTGGTCAGGGTCCACCAACCATGCGACCCCTGGACCAGGTCAACCTCCTGTTGTGTCTGCAGGGCAAGGACCTCCAACCATTCGACCTCCAGGTCCAGGGCAACCACCAGGTCTAGGTCAACCTCCACCAACAGTATTGAGTTCTCAGGGGATGGGCCCACCTCTAAGGCCACCTGGCCCACCCCTTTCTCAGGGGCAGAACACAAGTAAGTATAATACCTCCATTCTACTATCCTTTTGGGCTGCTTTCATATCCCAGAGCTGATTTCCTTGGTGCTGTGGTGCAAGTCATATGTGTCACTGTATGAATATATCGCATTACACACATATAGGATATATTGTAATAATAAAATTAACATCTGATATACAAAGTATTTATGATTATTGCTGCACTAAATTCACTTACGTTCTGATACTTAATGCATGCAGGTGTGTCTTGCATAAATTAGAGCAAAAATAAAATTTTCGAAAAATCCCTAGTGCATCTGCATAGATACTGGTAGATTATATTGAAATTTGAGAGCACAATCAATTTTGTACTGGTGAAGCCCCTCATGCATAATAATTATCAGTCAGCTGAATCTGATGATCATCATCACACAGAGACGGCCTGCAGATGTAGATCATCCCTGCAATGTGGTGTTTACTGTTTGAATTTTGGTAATTAACTTCATACCAGAATGTTTAGTTATGTGCTTGGCTAGGCTATGTTAACATGGTTAAAAGTAGTTTCTAGTAAAAAATCTAAATGTAGTGACAGCTGCAGGCCATAAAGTGGAATCATTTTAATTGTTCTGAAATTGGCATTACTTCAGTTTTATCTATTTTCCACAATGTTGACATTCATAACAACAGCTGTTTATATTCCTGTGAGATTCTTTTTCCAAAATCACTTTAGAAATGTTAGTGTTTGGTTCTTTGGTGAAGAAAATGTTGCCTAACTCTCAATAAAAGTTGTCTTTTTATGTTTATTTCAATAATTTTCCTGTAATGGATTGCTAAAAATACCGATAATCATGGTAATGCTAGTTTTGCTGAGCTTGCTTGAGCAGAATGAAATTTCTTTAGTGTAATGGACTTGATATATCTAATGCCTTGATCGACTTCAGTACAAACTGTATTTGTCTTTAACACACAAGGCATTAGCATTGCAAGATGTGTGAAGATCCAAGTTATATTGATCAAGCTGCTTTGGATGAAATGTCAATCTTTTATGGGGCTTGCTCACCATGTTCTTTTAAGGGAACTCCACCTGTTCAATTTTGTATGGGATCTCTTTGGGATTTTATTATTTATAACATCCTTTGTATCTGGGATTGGGTTGGAAACTTATTTCACATCAGTTTTTCATGACTGTATTGGTTTGTGCCCACTCTGTATTGAAAATTGATATTAGACTGTAAAAATAAATTAGTTGTTTTTAAGTAACTATGTTAACAGTGTCAAATATGTTGTGCCAACATTTACTGTGCAAAGTTGTGTCTTGGGCATTGCTGAAACCTTTGATCATGTATTTGAAACTGTTATTTGTGCTGTAAAAAGTAACAGCTGTTTTAAAAATGTTAGGTGTGTAAATGGTGCCAGAATGAACAACCTAGATTCCGCCAGTAATCTTTCTGGGTTTGTCAGCACTATACCAATGCTTGTGGGTTTCATCCAAGTGATCAGTATCCAAGATCTGCATCACTTCCTGCTTTCCTGACCTGTGATGATCCAGGTTAGAAATGGTCTTTGGCAACCCAACCCATGCTTGTCGTGGGTCAGAGATTTGGTTGACATGACTATCCCAATTGCATAGATCAATGCGGGCGTGGGTAGCCTAGTAGTTAAAGCGTGGTCAAGACCCGGTTCAGACTCGCTGACTTGTTTGACATGTCATCGTATCCCAATTGCATAGATCAATGCTCATGCTGTTGGTCACTGGATTGGTCCAGACTCGATTATTTACTGACTGCTGCCATATAGCTGGAATATTGCTGAATGTGGTGTAAAACTAAACCCACTCACTCCTTCTTTCCTCCCACATCTGACACTTTGTGATGTTCTGGAATACTGTTCAAAGTGTTATTGTACCCAACTCACAAACTTAACTATGTAGAGTTATGTACCTTTGGCAGGACAGGAACCTATATTCATGGGTTTGAATCCCCAAATTTACCCTGATTATGTTTCTTGGTTTGCCGGCACCATACATTAGTTTAATGAGATAAATGGTTTAAATTGATAAACATCTGCAACCTACATCACTACCGACCAGCACACGGTGATGTGACTAAAATCCTGTTCCCAGTGGTGTTAAACCCATCTCACAAACTTGCAATGTTGAGATATTAATATGTGTAAATAATGTTACCTGAACTTGAGAATGGACAAGCTGTCTCTCTGCATTAATTTGTATCTGCTATTTTGGCCATAACTGTAATTACAAACTGACTTGCAACAGACAATGTCAAAAATGGTCACCTTTATTGATTGTTGGCTAATACTAAACAGTCTATCAAAGAGGTTATTTAAGCATGTTAAACAAGCATACACCCCTTAGGCCAGACTGTTTTTATTTTATGGTTGACAGAATTCTTCAATTAGCTTGGTAGATCAAAACTGGGACAGATTGGAGGTATTTAATTGTTGTTAATTGCCACAAAATCTGTGGTGTTCTAGTTGAATAACATTGTTCTATAAATAGCTCACTCTGGAACAGCCGATCAAGTGATCAACATTACCTGGATTTATCCAGAATTTCAAATTAAATGCCTTAGACTGGCTATTTGTGCAAAGACATTATTTAGCTCAAATTATGCTTTGAACATGATGAAATACAGGGCACCTCTTCAAGTCCATGACATTGGTAATTTCTATATTACCAAAGTTATGGAATTGGCATCCCAATTTGGGAGTATTTGCTGATAGTTGTTAGGAGACTTGGGGACTTTGAACTGGCCTAGATAAATATCTACTCCATGAGTACTAGTCTATCCAAATGGGATGGACACAGTGATATACAGTCAAGCCTGATCACTTGTAATTCCTTAACACAATCACAGGTTGCTGGGGACCTATATTCTCACCTTCATTCCTGCTGGGTTCAGTTTATGTGGGGAGCTGTTATGGGAAAATGTAAACATTATGCATGATGGAAATATTGTTCACTTTTTCCAGTTTGGTACGAAACAGTGGTAATTTTTAAAGTGCAGAGCATTAAATATTTTCTTATTGACACAAATTCAATTGTCCTCAAGGGTGCAGTGTATGAAGATAATTTTTTGTACCCTCATCTGTGAGAAAAAGGCTGCAGAATGGCTTAAAGTAGTGTATCACCATAAAACAAGTTGTTGTACTTGTATACAATGCATTTGATAGGTTATTATGCAGTATAGTGAAAACCTCAAACAGCATTAATCATATAATGGTAAATTTGGATTATGTTGTGTTTTACATCTTAATATATTTCAAATCTGCACAGATATATCGGCTAGTTCAATAAACTGATTCTGTATTCTATTTTTATGGGTGTAGTTGGGCAAACGATATGTGAACTATTTCCTTATGTTTTATGTTTGTGGCTTTTGAAGTACATGTAGAACCTAATGATGCTAATGTTAACTGCGTGATATAAACTAACATTGCATGTCGTAGGTCGACCTAATGAATTGCCCGTCCCCTACCATGGCCACGGCCAGTACTCGCACCAAGTTGGCACCACTATGAACCTGACTCCTGGACTCACCCCCGGCTCAGGTAACCACGGCATCGGTAATACCACATCCCTCGCTCCACTATCCCTCCTTGCTTGCATGGAATCGGTTATTGTCACATCAGTTGCACTTGTTTTCATTATGCATCTTTCATTGCCTTGCTGTTCTGAACTTCTCTGAATCTTTCATTATATTTTTGTTTCTAATGTTGTTTTTCTATTCTGCTTCATGTGTATACCAAATTTTACTGTTTCAGAATTTTGTGAATTTAGCTTTTGATAGCATGAAAGTCTTGACATGTTGGATGTTCTTGAAATGTTGAATGTTCTTGAGATGTTTGTCTTGCGTCTTAACTACATTGATTATCTTGATACTCAGATTTCTGTTTTTGAGTTAAGTTGGATGTGCTATGTTTTAGTTTGGTTGAATATTTGATGTATTCTGTTCGATGTTAATTGGTGTTATTTATGTTGTTGGATCTTAAGTTTCTTTGTTATGTACAGGATGAAGGTCTTCTGTTCTTTTCAAAACATAATGAAAATGTTACAGATTTATGTGGTCTCTGATTAATACTTCCATTGATGATCTGGTTTGATGGATCTATCTTCAATAATGATTAATACACAAGACTCAGGACACCTAAAAATAGTAACAGCTGCTAAGACTGTAAATGTCTTTTCAGATTCATATTCTCATAAAATGTATTTTCAAAGAAGGTTCCGATGTATTCAGAGGTAGATTACAGAACCAGGGATGTAAACAATATAACTGTTCATGATATTTGGTAATTTGCGTTCATGTGCGGTTGTCATGAGCAGTGAAAAATCAGCGTAGGCTTGATAGAATTCTATGCACACATGCTACGTATTAGTCACAGCATGGAGCAGTACATATACAACTCAGAATTTGCTAAGGACTACACATATGACTAAAGATGACTATTTTTGTCCTTAACTAATTTAGAGTAGTATATGTCATCTGCGATTTCTACATACTCCTTCACTACCCGTGAAGGTCTGGGTTAGAATATTGATCTTCAGTAACCCATGCTTGTTGTAACTAACGGGATCGCTTGGTCAGGCTCGCTGACTTGGTTGACACATGTCATCAGTTCCCAATTGCGCAGATCGATGCTCATGCCATTGATCACTGGGTTGTGTGGTCCAGACTCGATTATTTACAGACCGCCACCATATAGCTGGAATATTGCTGAGTGTGGCATAAAAATAAACTCACTCACTCACATACTCCTTCTTCAGTCTTATATTTTTGGACTGATGTATTAGAAGACCAGTGAGAAGAGTACTTAGTGTGGGACCAGCCAGCAGATAATACTACTAGCTGTTGTCATGGCTGGTCATGGTGGACAGTGGCGTGACATGGTACTTACATGATTACTGTCACTACTTATCTTTATTTATCAAAATTGTCATTCTTACAGATTACACCATTGTACTTTGGTAGCTGATTTTATTGCTTTTCTTGGCAGAACCAGCTTCTCAGAAATCGTCTCGAGCACCATCACCGATTGCAAACCAGATTTATGATGACATGGAAGGACAGTTTGCTCCATCACCTCAAGGTCAGGGTCATCACCTTAAACATACATGTTAACAGTATTATAGAAGAGGTAGAAAGTGGATGATTTTTTGTATTATCATTGGAATATGTTTTCAGGTGTCATGCTTTTTGGACGACAGTTTTTACACTCGCAATAACAAACCAGTTGTGTGACACAGACATTGTAAATACTTGGAAGATCATTCTGTTTAGATAAAGTTGTCTTGTAATAAATTAGTGACATGTTTTACAGTTGTTTGTGTTATAATCAAGACAACAACAGATGTCCTTAAGTGTAGTGATGTTCCGATGATCGAAAACAATCGAAAATCGATCGAAAGAAGGATTAAAAATGATTATCGATTGTAAAAAACATATAGCAACCTTGAATGAAGTAAACTAACCATCAAATTTGACGAATATTCACGAATAAACATGCGCTCAACAGCGTAAAGCTATGCACATTGTAAAATTTTAACCACTTTTATTGTTTAATTACAATTCCAGTGTCTTTCTTGCATGCGTGCATTTCATTGCATGACAGCATTAGTTCTTAAAAAACACATTAATTAGAAAAAAAATGTGGAAAAACCCTTAAAATTGGTGATTACATTAAAAATGTATATTTTTCGATTATAATTGATAATCGTTCACCGCAATCCTCCGATAATCGATAGTGGATTTGGTTTCCAATTCTCAACACTACTTTACTGCCCCCAAACCCATAATACAATGATAATCACCTTGTTGAAAGGATAGCATTTCGAGTAGATGTATAATGATGTATCAAACTATGAAACTGTTGAAATTGTTTGTTGTACAATAGAACTCTATCATCAAGGATTCACAAATGCCAGTGGCATGGTTGAAAGCATGCATAACAATAGATAGGTTTATAGTTGCAATTCGTTAGGGGCCATTCATAATTTATGGCTAGGGGGGTGATGATGATTTTTATGGAGAAGCATGTACAATGTGAATGACGCCCCCTAAACTTTATGTACAAAATAAGTGACCCCCTGTGCATGTCATGTACAAAATCTGCGACCCCCCTCCCCTTCCCATAATTTCAAAGTATAATTTTAAACATAATTTTATGTACAAAATTGCTGCCTCCCCGATGCGTGTGTACAAAATTACTGCCCATCTCCCCAGGGCAAAATGGGTGACCCCCTTAAAATCATCAAACCCACCCACCCCTAGCCATAAATTATGAACGGTCCCTGACGAAGCCTACATATATTGTGCAAATTCCAAACCTGCCTGTGCATTAAGCATATTATCAAAGAATTTGTAGAATTTAGTTTATTATTTCTATAGAGTGGAAATAACACCAGTAGTATCCTCCAGATTTGGACCCTGTGAACTATATCATGCTACATCCGTACTCTAAATATATTACGCGCAGAATTAAAGAAAAGATTCCATGTTTTATTCTTGTATCTTTATATGGCAAATATATACCTGATGATAAGGTGTCCCATGCTCCATAGTGGTGGAATTATGTTTGATCTGTTATTAAAAGTTACATCTACCAATATGTGAATATTAATTGTGTATAAAATCTACTGAAACTTTGCTAAAAGTCAGGTCGGCATTTAGGCAGTCTCAGAATGTATTGGGCACAGACTGATGTTATCATTATTTGGTACTGAGAAAACACAAAATAGTTTTGCTATGGAGTTTGTTTTGATGAGATGTTGTTGGTCCAGTTTGTTTTTCGTAGAATCATCCTGTTGGTTTTTAATGAATCTCTAACTCGCTGCTTGTTACAGGCATGACCCCTGTGTCCTCACCCCAAGGCACAGCTGCCCCACCGTCACAAGATATGAGTCGGACCACAGGGATCACTGGCAGGAGGCAGTACCCTCAAATGGTAGGTAGGGGGAAACAGAATGACATGTCAGTAGTTCCCTCGGATATTGTGAATGGCGTGATTGTAAATTGTCAGTCAGGAATGTCGGTATCGATGTGCATTCTTGCTTAAGACTGTGAATCCATGAAGGTACGGGTTAGAATTAATGTTAACCAACCTATGCTTGTCGTAAAAGGCACTAGCAAGATCAGGTGGTCAGTTTTGATGACTTTGTTGCTAATTGTGTGGATTGATGCTCATGATGTTGATCACTGGATTGTCAAGTCCAAACTCTAGTATTTACAGACCGAGTCGTATAGCTAGGATACTGCAGAGTGTGGTGTAAAACTACAAACAAATAAAAACGTTGCTTAAGACTACTGTGGTTAGATCGACCCTGTGGTGATTCATAGATAGAATTGTTCCAGTAACCTGTTTTTGGTGTGTGGAGAATCTTCTTGGATGACTTGGTCAGACTGGGTATCATTGATGATTGGGTATCATTATAACCAAGCAGTGTGGATCAATGAATTGTTTAGTCGAGAACCAATCATTTACAGACAGCGATGACATAATTTGTATATTAATGTGTGTTAGGGCATGAGCCAGGAGCTGAAACTTGACATATTGGTACCACTCAGAGGGACCAAAAGTTTTAGTGTTTTTTATATTCCTTTATGTCTCAGTATGATGGACATATCAATTTGGTAGCTCAGACTCAGAATGAGGCTAAATCCAAGATGGCCGACAAAAACCCCCTAATTTACAGAAAATGTCAATTCCAAGCTTTAATCATGACTAAAGTTCAGCAAATAGGTTGGAAATGAAATAAGGGAGGGAAATTGGTGCTAACATGATGAAAAAGATTTAATTAATATCAAGTTTTGTTACTTAATACCTTTAAATCATATTTTTTCCTGGTTTTGTAAGAGTCAAAATTGTACTTTAAAAGAGCGTTTTCAAAAACTTGTCATTTAATTCATTCTGATGACAGCTTTTTAATTTCAAAGAGTGAGAGCAACTTCAAGTTCCTTAATTTGTGTAGTGATAGTCACTGTTCCACATTATAAACATCAGCTTCATCAGTGTCACTCTTCAGCATGTCATGGTCCTCACATACCATGTTGTCACAAGTCTGGTCCCGACACAGTGCATTTCAGTTCATTGGTAAGGCACTGACAACTTGGCAGTTTACAGAAATTGCAAGAAATGAACTCAAGAAAAGCAACTGGAGCAAGAGGTCCTGTCATCCAGAAAATTCTACGTGACCATTTTCTTCCATCAATCCATGACTCTGTTGCCTGTGTAGTTGGATACTCAGCTTCCAGACATTTGCACCATATTGCAGCTTGATAGCTTGCTCTGGGGACGGGCATAGATAAACAATCAAAGCAGGGTGGCAATTGTCATTATGCAATTGACCCTTCTCTCACTTCAAATAAGTGGTAGCGCAATTGATTGACATCCCTTATGGAAGAACCTGAGGCATACAGGTGGCATGTGAATGCTTGAAGTGAGTCGATCAAACCTGGTGGCACAGCCCACTCATTCCCAAGTTGTTGGAAAGTCTCTTGATCTTGATATGCCTTGCTGTTGACAAAAAGTTTCAATGCATTGACCCTCTGCCTCCAAAAGAACTGACAGTAGCACATACAGTGTATGCGTGTAGTCCAGGAAGGGCCTTGCAAACGCTTTGACCAATCGCCACAGCAACTTTCTTAATATCAATGAATCTTTGGCGATATTTTGTACCAGCTTTGATGTAATATTGGTTGCCATGTCACTGCTCTTTGTGATAATAATAATGTGATTTAATCAAGTGCTGAAGCTTTATGATGGTGATGTAAAGAATTGAGATACAGAAGAAATACTGTGTTGTGAAACCAAACTCATTTGTTCACTCATTCCTCTCTTGTAGCCCTCCAACTCCATGCCACCTCCACAGGGGCAGCAAGGCTACCAGGGACCACCCCAAGGATACCAACCAACTGGAACACCAGGATACCAGCCAACTGGTGCACCAGGATACCAGCCTGGTACTGCACCAGGGTACCAGCCAACCAGCACGCAAGGGTACCAGCCAACCAGCACGCAAGGATACCAGCCAACCAGCACACAAGGATACCAGCCTAGCAGTACCCAAGGGTATCAACAAGGTTACCAGCCTGGAGGTGCACCACCACAATACCAGGCACCCCCTGTGTCGCAAGGCTATCAGGGACCACCCCAACCAGGCTACGGTCAGATGCCTGGGGGACAGCCTGCTCCTGGTCCAATGTCAGGTCCAGCAGGGGGATACCAGCCTGGGGGTGGGAGTACCAGCCCAAATGACATACTGTCAAACTTCTCAAATATGGGCGTAGCTGTAAGTAGCATTTAGTCTTTTATATTATTTTTATTTGTTTTGCAAAATATTTTTGAACTTTATTCTAAGCTGGTACCAATGGAGGATACTTTGAGATCATGGTTGACCTTGGCATTTTAGGTCACATGATTCACTGTCCATATGCTTCTCTTAGGCCTCTCAGGACCTGATAATAGTGGCTTTGAATCTCAGATTCATGATGATAATGATTGTTTGAAAAATCTTAGAAGTTTCAGATAAAATTGATCTTTTGATAAATGTATAAGATGTGAATCACTTCAGGATTTCCTCCCACATAATACTGACACTGTTAGGTGTTAAACATGGAGGTCTTATTGTGAAACAAGGGATGACTCGCATGTCGTCATGCTTTGTATTAGGCCAGTGAACCGTTTTGTCCCACTTCACAGCAGCATACTGCTGATTTATCAGAGCATCAATGTCAGAGCCTATCTGGTGGGAAGTCATGATCAGTAGGCAGCAAACATTATCTATTAGGATGTTGATTTCAAATAAATTGCACTCTCAATATTATCCAAAGTATGTGCACGATAAGGCATGATAAACATGAACAGGTAAGATAATGGAAACCACGGTGGCTGAATGGGTTAGGCGTCTGACTTTGTGTGCTGGCCATTAGGTTCCTGACTCTGAGGTTGTGGGTTCAAATTCTGGATGATGACTCAACCCAACAAAAGTACTAGAATCTGTACTTTACTGAGAAAGTATAATCCAAAATGTAACATATGCTACATCTGGAAATATGGTATGTTCATCTCCGGAATGCTGTATAGGGGAAATTTCTGAAACAGCAGCTTTTTTGTGTTCCCAGGATTCCCAGCGCTTTCTGAACCTGATGCAGGAACGCCGCCTGATCCCAACAGATGGTCTTGAGACGGTAAAGCCTGGCTTTCAACATGATTTCAAGAAGGTCAACTGTAACCCAGAGTAAGTAATATCATAAATTTAAGTCAAGATCAACAGAACTTTAAGAAGCCAAGAGTGATATCATAACATTTGTGCTTTGGATAAAAAACAAGCTTCAGTTATTCTTAGTTTAGATCTTTTACTCTGTAAGCAGCCATATTTTCTTGTTCCAGCATATTTCGATGTACTCTGAACGCCATACCACAGACATCATCATTACTGAATAAAGCACGATTACCCCTAGGCATCCTAATTCATCCTTTTAAAGATTTGTCGGTAAGTAATATTCTGTCTCATCTCACTCTCTGCTTTTCCATCCTAATGCCTTTAAGGATACACTGAGAGCAGACAGTTGTCCTAGAAGTCATTGTTTGCCTCCTCCAGAGCTTTGATGAAAGGATGTGGAATAATAGAGACCCTTTTTGTGCCCTCAGTAAATGTTAATTATGTGAACTTGTGAAATAGTTCAATGTGGCCAGCACGTTCAATTCGCTGATGTTGACATGACAAAAATGAGTGGAATAGGTTTTCTTTTTTCCAAGTTAAGGTCACACTAGAAATCTTTAGCGACCATGATGAGTAAGGTTATCATGTGTTGGTACTGACCTCATCTACATCGTCTAGATTTGCTTAATCACTTCTGAAAACCTAAAAGTCCCTTTTTGATACATTTTTGCCTGCTGATACATTTAGCTTCATTGAAAACAAGTGTTAAAATGAACAGACCCTTCTTATTCATATGAGGGGCGGTTGGGTAGCCTAATGGTTAAAGCGTTGGCTCGTCACGCCGAAGACCCGGGTTCGAATCCCCACATGGGTACAATGTGTGAAGCCCATTTCTGGTGTCCCCAGCTGTGATGTTGCTGGAATATTGCTAAAAGCGGCGTAAAACCAAACTCAGTCAGTCAGTCTTATTCATATAAACATGTGTTGATATTCATTATAATTTCTAAACATTTTATTTGAAAATTCGTCAGTTCTTGTTCGTCAAAACAGGGTCCTTATTGTTCCTTGTCCTTCCAATGTTCTTCTGTTGCATGTTGTGACTTGTTGTTTCCTGTAGAATGTGATATTCCACAATACTCTACCACTGTTATTGTATAATTATTTGTCTGTCTCTGATGATGGCATGAATATTAATTATTAACCATGTCCCTTTTTGTAGTACATCTGTCACCAAAATCATAAAAATAGTGGAATAAACATTATGAAAGAAAACTGCCAGTAACCATGGTAATTAGATATTTGATGTCATTGTCGTGATCAGTAAGGCTTAAATAGTGGCTGTAGTACATGTCTGTAGTAAGTCAGTTAATTGATCAAATCCATTGTAAGGTCTTCTTGAATAATTAATGTATAAATAATGTTTGGGAATGTTTGGAAATCTAAGGCTGCGTTTTCATTACTATTTGTGAGGTCAGTTTGTATGGATGGTGCGGGTTGGACAAAGTTCATGGGCAAGTAGGGCTAATTTGGATGCATGAATTAAACACAACTTCATTCATTACCTGAATATGTATAAGCATGTTGTTATTACACAACATATGTGTTCAAAGATGATAAAGGAATAGCGATTATTCAGATCTGTGTGGTACTATGTTGATGATGGATGAGTTAAATGAGTTCATTTCTCACACTGATTCACATTATGTCAGCAAGATGCAGAGCAACATGATTTTGTCAGGTACTTGGTTGATTACAAATCCTTGAATCTCATTAATCACCAACAGTTTCAAAGGTATTGTACAATGTAATGACTAACTAGCAAATGTAGGTGAACCTGGGGTTGTATCTGTAGGTAAGCCCAGCATTGTATGAGTGGGTAATCCCAGCATTGTACCCATAGGTAAGCCTGGTGTTGTATCCGTATGTAAGCCCCGCATTGTATCTATAGGTAGACCCACCATTGTATCTATTGGTAAACCCGGCGTTGTATCCATAGGTAAGCCCCACATTGTATCTATAGGTAAACCCATTTTTTGAATGTATAGGTAAACCCGGCGATGTAGCTATGGGTAAGCCCAGCCTTGTATCTATAGGTAAGCCCAGCATTGTATCAATAGGTAAGCCCGGCATTGTATCTATAGGTAAGCCCGGCTTTGTATCCGTAGGTAAGCACAGCATTGTACCCGTAGGTAAACCCAGCATTGTATCCGTAGGTAAGCCTGGTGTTGTCTGTGTAGGTGTTCCCAGTGTTGTATCTGTAGGTAAGCCCAGATGTTGTATCTAGGTAAGCCCAGATGTTGTATCTAGGTAAGCCAGATGTTGTATGCTTGTGTGACAGTTCCTCCTTGTATTCCAGGAGGACGAGGAGGATGGTGTAAGTAGTTTGTCTCCTTCTCCTGCCCTCATGTATCATTCATCCATTGTCTCACATAGGCAGGGCGCAGGACAAGCACCCAGATACTCTGTACACTGAAACCTTGTTTGTCCAGACCTTGTTCAATCTGGAAATGGAACTTCCTTGACCATTCTGTCATAGTTTGGAAGTTATCACTAACAATATTACAGCTATTCCTCTGTCTCTACATTTGTTTATGTGGACTGTATCACGAGGGAATAATTGTCTGGATTAACAAGGTTTCCATGTACTGATTTCCCAATACCATGCATGCCTAAACCACTGTTTAGGGTAAGCATGGTAAGTAGAATAATTTTGCATTAAAACTTCATTTTGGTACTTTAATGTTACTTTTTAAAGCATGTTAAATGCATATTCTCATTGTCCCAAAAATATGATGAATGGTGAATGATAAAAGACATATTGCAGTTGTTGGAAGAAACAAACCATTATGTTGTCATACTGGGTTGAGGGTTACCATGGTTACAAATGTATTTGCAGTGTTGTGTTGTCTCTGGTGCTGGGGTTCAACTAAATACACGCACTGTAATTCGTAATAAGCTTTATTTATATATTTTGAGAAAATAGGCCATTCACCTCTACATATCAGTCTGATTCTATAGGACTTTGTGGAACAAGAGCTCCTTGTTTTTAATGGTGTGCTTATAGGCTAGTTTAATAATAAACTGGAAAAAATAGTTAGGGGTATATGTAAATTTTGAAATTTGATCTATTTATTCATTGACACACTGATGAAATATCAATCATAAAAATATCAATATCCCTAACTTATTTTGTCCAGTATATAATTGATTTCATCTTGTCACTGTATTGATATGACATTTATTTACCTGTGACACAGATATAATATATTGGATATGTGCTCAATCCTCTTGCCAAGTCCTATTGCTCAAGGGCGGTAGGGTAGCCTAGTGGTTAAAGCGTTTGCTGGTCACGCTGAAGACATGGGTTCGATTCTCCCCCACATGGGTACAATGTGTGAAGCCCATCCTCCGCTGTGATACTGCTGGAATATTGCTAAAAGCGGCATAAAACCATACTCACTCACCTATTTCTCAAGGGTTGCTCATATATTTGCTCTGGTACATACGCAGTCTGTAAAGATAAACATTGAAAGCAGACTTTTGATGGACTGGTGACATCATGGGATAGAAAGTGGCACCAGCCCACTGACCCAAGTCAGCCTGCCTTATTAGGCTAAAACTGAAGTGCCCCAATGGCAGGCCATTCGAGGCATTTTGAGTGATAATTATGTAATCTTGTGTTCATAATTAACATTGATCGTCCTAAGAGGGTCCAAATGAATAACGGGTCTGACTTGCTGACTTGGCATATTGTGTTTATGTACCCAGAATGCATTGATAGTTGATTGTTGCCCACAAAATTAGTGACCTAATTGTCTTGTCTGCAGGTTTTCATATAAATGTTATAATTTTAATTAAGCATGAATGTCAAGAGTCCTCACATGACCTTAGATTAAACAACTAAAGCAGAAAACTAAAGGATCCAGGACCTCTTGTCACTATTGACAATGATATGATAATCCTGGGCCTAGATTTTCGAAGCTCTCTTAGCGCTAAGATAGTTGTAAGTTAATGTTAATAAATGGCACTTACGACTATCTTAGCGCTAAGAAAGCTTCGAAAATCTAGGTCCTGCATGGTAACCAATGGTTTTCGTTACTTTCTACTGCTGTTGTCATTTCAGATAAGGTAGTGTATCTCAAGATGAATGATTTGCATGTATGTTGTCATGTTACTCAGTCTTACAACACCAACAACTAGGTCAAACAACAACATATTTACCTGATTGGTTTGAAATTAAGTATAAAATTTGGAGCCCTTAAACTGTGAGGAATTCCACATGAAAGTCAAAGGGTGTTATTCGATAACCCTGATGTTACATAGAGTGTGTGAGTCCCTAAATGTTATCTCTCCAAAGAATCCACCGACCCAATGCTCTCTTAAGTTTAAAGACTGTTCAAAAGTAAAGGTTTTGGAGGTCTTTAGATCTAGATGACAATCCCAGGTAATTCAGTAACCAAGGGCCCATCTTTACTAATATGGGTAATATGGAATCATTTCACGTAGTTTTAAAATTTTTAATCACTGCTAACCAAACTTTATATGATTAATAAATTCAGAATCCAATATTGATTTAGTCCATTATGTTTGTCTACCATGACATGTAAACATTTGAAAAGGTTAAACAAATAATTGTCATCAGATGTTTCTAACTGTCTGAAGCCTACCATCTGGCGTCAGTTGGTATGCATATCTCAAGCATGGAAAGTGTGATCAATAATTCGTTGAATGCTTCTACATACAAATGCCTAATATCTCTTCTCACATGCCTTTTGATCTTGCTTATAACATCTGTGATTGTATTTTGTCAGCTTGTAATTGTAGTAATATCTACATAGCATGCCAGAAGGTTTTGAATTATGTATGCAGGTATTCTGTGATTGATACGGCACATCCTTGAATATCCATTGTGTTATATTTCTAATATTCTATTATGATGAACACCCTGGTGCAATGACCCTTTGGTTGCATGGCTAATGGAACATCTGTTCATTCAGCGTTCACTCAAAACCAAGTTTGGAAGATCCATGAAGATCTGGTTTAGAAGTGGTCTTCAGCAACCCATGCTTGTCATAAGAGATGACAGATGGGATCAGCTAACTTGGTTGGTGCATGTCATCATATCCCAAGTGCGTAGACTGATGCTCATGCTGTTGATCACTGGATTGTCTGGACCAGACTTGATTATTCACAGACTGCTGACATGTAGCTGGAATGATGTTAAGAGCAGCATCAAACAGCATAAACACAACAAACAGTTTTTATCACAGCTTTGCCTGGCCACCCAATTGTAGTGGTCATCATGAACTGTTGTGTGTTTCAAGGGACTCATAAGTGTGTTTTAGGCATTGTAGTGCTGTAGGGGGTCAGTATTGTCCAAAGGATTAATGATGTGGATAGAGCACCTGTCTGGAGAGCTGAATCTCTATAGTGTGATCCTTTGTCGAATCACACAAAAATATGTTGACAGATGGTACTTATTATTAACGCTGCCTTGTGCTTGGCATTAACAGATAACAGCAAGGACTGATTACTTACTTGGAGTCAATACACTGTGTCTGTGGGGGGTAGCCCTGTTAAGAGCAGCTGGAGTCATCAATGCCTGCTGATATACTTCGGCTGTACACACCGATTTTAACTTCTTAGTCTTGTCGACAACAACTTACACGATGTGTCACACTTGGGCAAAGCTTTAAAACCAGCATTTGTCTGTAATTGTAAGTACACTGGCAGCCTGGCACGTGCAGTTTACTGTATAAATGCAATAGTTTTGAATGTGACATTTAACCCCATTTAACCTAAGCTTAAATTTATTGCCACATAAACAAAAACAAAAACTTTGCTGGCAATAATTACAATTCATTTATTATAGTTAAAATTATCATGGTCTGAAATTAAATTGAACTCGTGTGTATGGTTATATTTTGTCTGCCCCTCTTAGTCAATTTTCTAAAAGCGCTGTGATATTGGTTGAATATTGCTTAAAGTGAAATAAAACCAAACTCACTCACTCAATTTTCTGAACACCCAAGGTACCTAATAGTGTAATACCCTGGATACATGAGGATGAGACTGGCATGGCAGGATTTGTTTCCAAGCCTGTGTTGGTTGTGTCTTCTAGTCTTGTTGTAACACAAGGCTAAATTAATGTAAATATGGGTTAAATTCCTCATGTTATACCTTTCCATTGGCAACTGATGATGGTGGATGTGATCAAAGAGTCATGTTCCATTCTTCCCACACATTGCCTGCCATGGTGGTGATGTATTTGCATATATAAATGTAGAGAGTGAGTGAGTGTAATTAATGCTGGAACAGCTTGAGGTTGTTGTAATGAGTTCGGTTTTCTTGAACTGCGTTGCAGATATGAGAGTTGGTAGATAACAGTCACTGACAAACATAACATTAATCTATTCTAGTTATTTATGTTGATATATGAATTTAGAATTGGAATTTCTTTTGTCATTCTCACATTTAAAATGGAGTTTTGTAAAGAGGTGTACCAGTTTGTTGAAAGAATGAAATGGAGTATTTTTTCTATATTTGCTCACCTTGTCAGTCAGTGTAAGCTTGTTTTAAGGATTTCAGCCTTTTTCCATCATCTCTATCCCTTCATATAACTTCTGCCATATACTCTTGTCTTTTTTTAAAAGTCTTGGCATAGATTTCAACTTATGTTTGCACATTTGTTTCTTAGTTGGAAAATGAAGGGTTTTCCTTTTGAAAAATTCAAAATGGCTACTGAATGGTCAATGCAGTCAAATGTAGTCTGAAAATTCGATACTGACATGTCATAATTTTTTTCTGAAAATATACCACATTTTGTTTGATTTTTCCTGATGATTAATCAAACACAGAATATCACAGATGCAACATTGATATCTTGATCAAGAAAATATTCATAGGATTGGAAGTGTGAATATTACAATTTCCATGATAATGATCCATGGTTGCTCAGCAAAGTTTCCTTTGCTCTGTAGTTTTACAACACTGGTAAATATATGTGAATTGCTTTCCTCCAACTGTTAGCTTTCTTCCATTGTATGTTATCAATGTATATCTGAAATAGTTCCTTTAATGCCCAAACTCATCGCCATGACTTCAGGTAAAACTGACAGACTACCTAACCACGAGGACGAAGTTCCAGGTTAGAATTGACCCTAGCAACCCATGTCATAAGAGGCCTCATTAGAGGCAGCTCTGTATCGAGTAGTCAGGCTCGCTGACACGGTTGACTAATGTCACTGTAGTCCAATTGTAAAGATTGATGCTCATGTAGTCAATCACTAGATTGACTGGTCCAGACTTGATTATTTACAGATTGCCATCATATAGCTGGAATATTGCAGCGAGTGGTGTCGCACAACAAACAAA